GGGGCGGTGTGATTGCGGGGACAGTTGCGGTGGATGTTGCAACGATGATAACGCGAATTGTGGACAATTGGCGACAAGCGGTATAACTGCCATTGGTGTTTAGTTTCAGACTGATATGGTGCATACTGACATTTTTGTATTACACTGATATATTGGAGAACCTGTCTTTCGGGGATTTTGGGCCTCTTGGGTTTATTGTCACAAGTGTATACACTCGTATTTTGCTTCATATATTCGAGATTTCCTCAGGGCTACTACATCCTAAATGTGTCACTATTCTATCCCGAACAGCACTGCTATCTTTACAACTAGACATAGTCAATGCAACCCAGATTGCATATACCACGAACACTCTTGCCTCGATCTCGAAAAAGAAATGTGTGTATGGTAGAATCAAGTTAGGAGTGTCCCTCCATAGATTACCTGGTTCAGAACGGTGAGAATGTGCAAAAACTGAACTATTAGATATCTAGAATATTCGCATAGCTTCATACACTGTTAACGTTATGTCTCGTCAGATCAGATCTTGATGCATGAGATGTCAATACTCACGTATCATCTGTATGGAAGTAGCCCTTATCAAAGACAGAATGGAAGAGATGCAGACGTTTGCCACGCACCGTGATATTCAAACCGAGTCTATCACCAGGCGTCATGCGTGAGTAAGGAATTGGACAAGACGGAAAAGAGAGCGACCTTTTTTGGATTCTCCGGGGCATGCCGGACATAGCGGTCGTTATCTGGTGGTCTACCCAGAGCACAATATCAGACACGTCGTCGCGAGTTTGAACCCTGGCCCCACATACAGTTCTTTCGCCTGTGGAAGAAAGTATGAGATCTCGTTCTACAGAGGTAAAGGCCAGGTGCTCACCTTGCATGATGCTAACATACTTTGTAATGTTACACATACTGCTATAACCGTCAGCACGGGCGACCACTCGTTGCCCAGTATAGATGCACAGATCTGGTGAATCGTAACGATCGCGCACAAAGGGCACCGAAGGTAAATCAGAGACGTTGAAACAGGAAATCCTATCTCAACAACCACGTACATGACCGTTGGAATACACGTGCTAAGATTATTTTAGATAGGATGAGCTGAATGGCTTTCTCGAAAGCATACCGGATGAATAGGTGCTTTATGTGTGTCATCCACTACAAATTGCACAGCGGGGGAAGATATGGGATATGAATTGTCGAAGCGGAACTTCAGTGCGAATTTTTCGCCCTGGAGGATCCCATGTAAGTTCAGCATAGCCCACGCGTACTGAAGAGACCGCCAGTGGCTCACCGCATATACTGTCTCACCTAGAATTTCAAGCGAAAGGTACCATGTCTGGAGATCATCGGCGCTCAGCAGCTGGATACCTGCACGTCCATGCAGGCCCAGTTACAAGTGACAGTGTGAGTAGATAGGTCAATGCCACGAACCTACTGGTGCGCCCTGCGTCTTGATGTCCATCAACTCCTTTTGTAATCGACGCGTTGAAACAGCCATTTTTCGAAAGCAGTGTCAGATTAGAATCCCTAATATGTGGAATAGAAACGCGTTCTAGCAAACGGAGGATATCAGTTGAGTCCAAGAACAAGCTGTATGTTGATCCCAACAAGTGTGGAGGCCGAACGTCCCTGCCACTGCAGAAAATAAGTACAAATACACCGGCGCTATATAAAGGCGCGGCCGCACGCTCGTTTTTCCCAATGTCATTTCCATCCCTGCCTTAGAGTCACTTGCGTCTCATGCATACGATGAAGAGAATCGCAGGCGCTCGTGGGGATGCAGAGGAACTCCTTGCGGTGGTTTACTGTTGGTTGGTGCTTCTTGTTCACCTTGCAACGCAATTACTGTAAGAAACACTTTCCATAACACACGCGGGCTGGAGTTGTGTTCTTTGTTCTGATAATGTACATTTTCATTGAGGACGATACTAGTCACCTTGAGGAAACTATTTATATGCTAGTGAATCAAGCAGCTGTCATAATGCTTGTTCCCTCCTCCCTTTTGGTTAGTTCAATTTTCGTTGCTCTGTCTTTGTTGATTTCATCCAAGATCCCTGTCGCCCCCGCACTCATGAGAGCTCGTGCTAGACGTTTCCCAACATCTTCAGCCTCTGACAGCGAGCGTACTTCCTCCTTGATAGTCTGTTCTACATGTTGCGTCCCGTCCAGAGATGTTACGCAGCCCGAAATCGCCAGCACCCCTCCTTGATCACTTGGGTTACCCTTCAGTTGGGTATGCACCCCGACAGGTACACTACAACCGCCCTCCAGTACGCGCAGACATGCACGCTCCGCGCGACATGACCAATTGGTCCGCCAGTGTGTCAACGACTCACACAACGCGCGTGCTACTTCGTCGTCTGAGCGAATTTCGATTGCTAATGCACCTTGCGAAACTGCGTGGAGCAATGTAGGGGGTCCGAGATCCGCTGTGATTCGAGATCTCCAGCCAAGTCGAACCATGCCGGCTTTGGCGAGGATGAGGGCAGCGTACGGCCCATCTGGTGCATCGAGCTTGGCGATTCGTGTATTTCTGGATGCAGAGTTGGGTCATAGATCAATGACATAGAGCGAATTTTGTACATACAAGTTACCACGCTAGTGCAATATAGAATGCATAAATGGGAGTGAACAAGATCACGATTGAGAATAGTACGCACGACATCCTTGAATATCAGCTTTGGGAATTGACGGATAAGTTGCGCGACTCTGCGCACGCTGCTCGTGCCCACCACACTCCCATCCGGCAATTCCTCCAGGCTTTTCCATGGCTTGTCTTTGCGGACAACCAGGGAGTCGACCGGATCCTCCCGCTCCATAACCCCCGCGATGTCGCATCCCTCCGGCAGTTCTGTGGGTACATCCTTGAAGCTGTGGACGACCATATCTACCTCGCCATCGCGCAACGCGACCTCGAGCTCTTTTGTCCAGAGCGCCTTGCCTCCCAGTAAGTACAATGCCTGCGACTGGTTCTTGTCCCCACCCGTGGACATAAAGAGAGTTTGGAAGGTAGTCGATGGGTATTTTTCAGCGAGGGCATCTCGTACGATATTAGTCTGTACTTGCGCTAGTTCAGAAGCCCGAGATGCGAGGGTAAATGTGCGCGCCGGGCGATCGACGGGATGCTGGGCCTCGGAGGTTCGCACTGGTGTCGCCATTTGTCTGCGGTATCCTGAGCGATTCAGTTCAGTACGAAGATGATAGCTTTATCTCGACAATTTTTATTACTTACGCGGGTCCAAAGAAATATTAGTGGATTCCCCTCGCCGCAACGGCTCGTGCAAGCGGCAAATCTGAGTACCTAGTGATCTCTGTGAGTAGGCGCTCGAGATCGGGTTTGCCAAATTTGGAGAGCAGCAAACGCATTGCTGAACGCGTCAGCTTGCAGCCACTTCATCTTTGCATCTCAACACCATGGTACGCCGTTAACTCTGGTCGCAAGCTTCTGCTAAGAAATATCGTAGGAACCATCCCTTCGTATTGTGCCCGCGTCCGCGCCGAAATCGGCCTCTGTCAAAGAAACAGCGAACAGCTTCGGTCTGCATGATACTTTCAGGTATGGGCCTCGTACCATCGTCGCAGAGGTCTCAACGAAAGGTGGACTTAAGGAGCGATTGGAGAACGTACGTCAATATTTCTTATTGTGTACGTCGGTGTTGTGATCGTAAATCTAGTGGGAAGAGACGCAAGACAATCTCAAACTTACGTTGAATCGTGGAATGTACGGTATCCATATGCCCATGCGTCTACTCATGGAGCGTAAGATTGTGGCGCATGTACGTATTACTGTTTTCCCTTTCCCCAGATCTCTAAACGGCGGTACATTCAGAACCCACATATGCCCGCGTTGCATCAATCAAATGTCCATCTAGATATTCTCATGGGCCGAGACGACACTCTTGAGCCTGCAGACTTTATGATGCCCTGTACGTACTGTGCTTGCACGTTACATTCTTGTCACTCACACCTCTTGCAGCTTCGGCGACTGCGCAATCATTGGACATTCACGCCGACATGGAGAAGAAGCTGCGCATGTAGATATACGTTAGATAACATTGCTATCGTACCTTGTACATATGGTTTCCCTTCATGAGAGCGAGAATGACCTTATAGGATGTGTTAAATCTACATTTTGGTGTGACCCAGGCCCTGTCGGTGGGCGTTGACCGGCGCTAAGGTTGCTTTACGTCACACTAATGATTATTGAAGTCGTACTGCCAGACGGCATATTTCGAGTCTTGAGCGTAACGATACCACCCTTCATTTTGCTTTACCTCATAAGACCTCAATCGGACACTGCTGTATTCACTTGGTGCAAACTTGCAGGACCTTGCACACGGAAGCAGCAAGTGTCTTGCCGGTTGCATCTCTGACTGAGGGTGTGGCCGAGAAACCAGCTAGGTGATTAGGGTTGCTGTGCACGTTATTAGTGGACCATTGTGGTGAGTTATGTTGATACTGATTCCGCATGTATCTCCTAACGCTTCTATATCTTCAAGTCAACGACTCAGTCCTTCGGACAGAGCATACTTGCAAGGCAGCAGGATGAGCGACTCAGCCAAAGGTGTCTTCCCCCTCGGCCTTGTCATCACAGTACTCGTTCTGTTATGGGCCGTATGGTTCTTCTTCCTCAAAGCTCGGGAGCAACCGGCCTTTCGCTCGGTTGCTGTCCTCGTGCTGGGCGACATAGGCCGTAGTCCGCGTATGATGTACCACGCAGAGAGTTTTGCCACGAATGACTTCGAGACGTATCTCATAGGTTACGCCGGTAAGTACACCCCAGACGTCAGCATGCGCCTCACAGACAGAACTATGAAGGATAGGCTCAAAACCAGTGCCCTCGTTAATGTCTCTCCCTCGCGTTCACTTCCTCTACCTTTCTTCACCGCCGGCATATCTGTCATCCTTACCTTTCATCATTTCTGCACCCCGAAAAGTCTTGCATCAAGTCATCAGCATTCTCCACACACTTCTAGTGCGCATTGAGCATCCGCCAGAATTCATAATCGTCCAGGTGCGTTATGCCCTACCAAGTGTCTGACACCAGGCCCCTTGACCAAACTGCATCTGTATCGAAAGAAAGAACCCACCAAGCATACCAACATTGGCGCTTGTCTGGCTTGTCGCCCAGCTGAGGGGCAGTAAAGTTATCATTGACTGGCATAACCTCGGCTATAGCATCCTCGCCCTGAAGTTGGGCGACCAGCATATACTTGTCCGAGTCGCCAAGATGTGAGCATATCGTGTTTGTTGAGCTGTCAGCTTATTATCGACACTCGTACTCTCCGTTCTAGGTTTGAAGCGTACTTCGGACGGTCAGCGTACGCACATTTATTTGTTACTCATGCAATGCGAGACTTTCTTGTACGAGAGTGGCACCTAAAGTAAGCACTCGTTATATGACCTTTCCACGTATGTTCCCGTATCGTATTAATTCTCTCAGAGGCCATAAAGTTGTCCTCCACGACCGGCCACCTGCGCATTTCCACCGCGCTTCTCCAGGCGAGACCCATGAGCTGTTCCTGAGGTTACAGTCAGGACTCGCGCTTCCCGTCCTTTCTTCGTTTCTCCCGGAATCGACACCACCTTATTCAACGCCTTTCACCGCGATGCCCTCTACGCCTCACTCTGATCCTGCGCGCCCATCGGACGACATTGCCGCAGATTTCGCACCTATGCCTGCCCTCCGAGATGACCGGCCCGCGCTGATAGTCTCCAGCACGTCATGGACGCCCGATGAGGACTTCAGTATCCTTCTCGATGCTCTCGCACGGTATGAGCAGCGCGCAAGTGTCTTGAATGCGGACTCGGATGCGCCTCATCTGCCGAAGCTGCTCGCTATCGTGACGGGTAAGGGTCCGCTGCGTGATCAATACATGCGCAAGGTCGGTCAGATGCAGAGCGGTGCGAATGGAGGAGAGCCCTGGCGCTTCGTACGCTGTATAAGTCTCTGGCTCGAGGCGGAGGACTATCCACTCCTGTTAGGTATGTCCTGCTCGCATGGGTGTGGACTCTAATTGAAATCGCCTCGCAGGTTCGGCCGACCTGGGCATCTCCCTCCATTCAAGTTCTTCTGCGCTGGATTTACCTATGAAGGTTGTGGATATGTTTGGCTGTGGACTGCCGGTGTGCGCGCTCGGATTTGCTTGGTCAGCTCATAGTCTCAAATACCGGTTCTAGCTACAATACTGAGGGATGTCGTGAATTTAGCCTTGACGAGCTCGTTAAGGAGGGTGTCAATGGGTTGGTATTCCACAATGCTGAGCAACTCGCAGCGCAACTAGAGGTCCGTGTCACATAATGATGATGCTGACCAGCTGGGCTCTAAGCGCATATGGATCTAGACTTTGCTTGGATCTCAACGATCGACTGTCTTGCAAACTCTGCGCTCCTCCCTCCAGCGACCAATGCCGATCGCAGGAGAACAGGATTGGCAATGGGGAACTTGGGCACAAAATTGGGACGCTACAATGCGCCCGCTGGTCTTGCGGGATGTAGGTGGGGATGTGATTTGAATGCAGTTTGTTTGAGTGGCATCAACATACATAATTGGCAAGATCGTCGCATTGTCATCGTGTCCTTCTAGAAAGGAATAATGAAAATAGCCTCACCGTTGGTGAAATGTGAATGTGACTCAAGATGAGAACATCGGGAGATAAGCGCAAGATACATGTCTGTAAACCAAAGTCATCGGGAGATGATTATGAGGCCAACCACTTATCAACATGGTGACTATGGTTTCGAGTCAACAACTGCACAAAAGAATGCGACACTATCAGGCTCTTGCCAACGTAGCCTTTTAAAATGTCCTGAAGGCCGTAACTTTAGCGTGATCCGGTAGCAAGTATTAAGTGGAGACGGAAGTGCGATTTTTGGTCATGATAGACAGATGGACCAGACATGGCCCGGATGGCGAAGGAGAGGTATCGACAAAGTCGAGGTAGGGTCCTAGAGTCATAAGCGGGTCGTTAGATGTCAGGATGCGTGGACTCAGATAATTACAGAGGACAACGCGAGATCAGACAAGTATTCGTCAAGCTCTTGCAATTGATCAGACATCATGCATAGAAAATCTGCTTAAGTTTAGTCGACAAATTGAACATCTCTTCTGCTTTCGAGAGACTCAGCTGCGACGGACTCTGATTGAGTTGAAATCATGAATGTGGATGTTCGAACGGAATACGTACATACCTGCGAGCCATCACTTGTTCTCAGCTTCAGTCAAGTATTTATTGGAAGACGGAGATATTGACTTGATCCGATTCGTGCAATAGCTGCATGTAACAATTGATTGGTGGCTTCAGAAGAACACTCAGTACCTCTGTAATTCCCGTATAACCGCAATTCCAAGTTACGAGTACCGCTTGACGCCAATCAATCTGTAGAGTTCCCACGCATGTGGCTGTCGAGAACCGCGCCGATCGGCCGGGTGCACTTCGCGCGCACGACAGCGGGTGCCGTCAGTCTGTAACGGAACCTAGGACTTACGAGGACTCGGATATTCTACAACGCGTAAAAATGTCTGGTTTTTACACAGAGGTGTAAGTCAAACCACTTATACCCGTAAAGCTCGGCGCTGAATTCCAGACAGAGCTTCTCAGCGACTCGAACCCCTATAATCCTTGGCTCAGGTTCGGCATCACATTAAGGACTTGGGAGTGGTTGTCCCAAGTCTTCAAGAGTGCCCTGCCTCTGGGACTAAGGTGCGGGTGGAGCTCAGATGAGATTTCCATTTTTCCTGCTGCGCATGTCTTGTCGGAAGGTACCCCTTAAGGGTGCGGGAATGATTCAGCTGAGGTCTGGGTATTTCGTATAAGAAGCCCCTCCTATCGAATTTCTTCAGACAAGGGCCTTTCTCAGCCTGGTCAAGTCCTAGGATGAACGAAAAACTGATTGCAACTCCTCTCAGGCTCACGAGGCTGTCTTTAAAATGCTTTATTCTTACAGCTGGCTTCGTCGTCGTAACTGCTTTCTCTGTCCTGGTCTTTTGGGAAACCTCTCTGCATTCTAGCGACAGAAGTACCGTCACATTTTCTAACACAATCGACGGGCGCATACATTTAGAAACCAGTCCCTTTGATGATGTTCTTCTAGATCGTCTGAACGCTAGCAATTTTTTGTCCGGCTCACGGACAGCGCATTTTCGAGGTAGTTTGGTCATCGTCTCAATCCAGTTCGCTATAACATGTCAAAACAGATAGTTTGCGGAACGACTCTAAGTACTTGACGTCCTGGCTATCTGCAGGATGGAGTGCGTAACCTTCTTTTTCAATTTATTCTCGTTTTTCGCTTAATGATCTTTTCATCAGCCAACGACGTCATCACAATAGTATGCACATCGTTTGTTTACATTTTCGTGTACTCAAGTTTAGCTCAGGGAAATTTAATCTACCTCTCCCTTATCACTTCGCGGATACCCATAGTACCTCCGTTCACATCTCATATAGGGGTAGGCAATATGCCAATCAACGTCTCGCATATATTCGATTTTTCTCGCCTCGTACGAGCCATAAACACGCCCGTTTTAGAGTGGCACCAAATCAAGGATATTGATCTGTCGCACGCCCTCCATGAACCAGATGAGCTGGGATGCTGGAACCTATGGGAAGTAGATAATATGGCGGCGACCGAGCCGAGGGGGAGCTATACACCTGTTGCTTTGAATCTAGGCATGCATTTCACTCCCAAGCAAATCGTGCCACTATGCTGATCTTTCTGATGATCTGCAGATATATCGTATACCCGCGCACCTGGCTGGGTGAAGCTGATTCCGGGGTTCCAACACGACTCATCTTCGTCGTTCTGGTCTATAGCTCGGCTTGCATTTCCTGACACGCGTTCGGCTGTGCTAGCAGATGCTGGTGCGCACCCAACGCGCCCATCTGAGCAGAAAGGGTCTATCCTATCTCCAGACGAGCAGCTTCTCTGCTATGATTATTTATACTATGTATGCGGACAACAGGTGTGACTATCTGATATCGCGCTGTTTATAGTCCTTGACATTCGCTTGCAGCCAGATGAGATTGATCACGACTATAGTCCGGCGTGGAGATTTGTTCTGCGGCACTTCAAATTTACGCGACACCTCGAAGAGCTTGCAGATGGATACCTCCGCCGGACGCTAAATGTGCCTGAGGGTGACAGCATTCCTCCGGTATGATTTCTGCTTTGTATTTGACCATATTAATCATATGACGCGCCCAGTACATTACAGTCCACGCTCGTCGAGGTGACTTCTCTACGTGGTGCGGGGGTGTTCCACGCGACGAGTGTTTTCCTTCACTCCAGGTGTTCGCGCGGCGCGTGTCTGAGGTACAACAGGAGTTGCAGACTAAGCACAACATTAACGCGACGCAAGTTATCATGACCAGTGATGAATCCGATGAGACATGGTGGGACGCGGTACGGGAGCTTGGGTGGTCCAGGATGGACCATCGACGTGAGCTCACAGTGGAGCTGCACGGAAATTGGTGAGTCACATTAGAGGCTTTTCCTCAGCGATTAGGCTCACATCGGTAGGTACCCGGTCATTCTCGATGCGGTGGCTCAATCTCGCGGGATCGGTTTTGTGGGTACGGACAGATCCACGTTCTCCATTCTAGCGAAGAGAAGGGTGCAGGACTGGAACGGTGGGGTTGTGCGGACCGTGAAATGGGGCCGACCTGACTCCGACGCTCACTGAGAGCAGCAAGCGGATTTCGATTGGGCGTGGCATCGTAAATTTATAATACATAGATCTTTATATCATTCGGGCGAATTCCTTGTGATTTGCAGCCACATAAATAATGGAGATGCACTAGCCACACAATGCTACCTGACATGAAACAAAGAAGCAACCATTTTCAACAGTATCTTGCATTGGCAGAGACATTTCCTTGCGTCTACATCGTGTGAAGACGGTGGATTCTCTGTTGTTTGAGTGCCGTACACGTTTCTGATTGTGGCGTACCCTGGGTAGAGTTTCGTTGTCCTCGTGTTTAGGCGGGCACTGCCATCTTTGATGGTGAGTCGACGTGAGACAGGTGCGGGGAGCCGACGGGGCGCGGTATTTCCGCTTTGGGCAGTTCCCGACCTGCGCCCGCCACGATCATTTTGACGCGCGCCAAGGCGGCGCGGTATAAAGCCACGCACCGATCCACGCTCCGGCCCACATCAAACGCATCTCTTTCTCTCCACCTAGAATGCCTCCCAGGAAGAAAGTAACAGCAGCCGACGTGTCTGACGCGTTAAAACCACGCTCGACGCGTTCCAGCACGAGAGCGAAGGCCCCTACTTCCAAGGCATCTGCTGCGAGCGCCCCGGCGAGTAAGGGGAAGGCGAAGCGTGCTCGTGATGCGTCCGAAGACGATGAAGACAAGGAGGAAGAGCCTGAGAACAAAAAAGCGAAGACAGACTCTACAGCTGCGGCTGCAGTTGTGGACAATGTACAACAGGACCCGCCGGCGAAGATGGTGAGACACTGCATTCTCGTCGTTGCGAGCAAGGCTGACGTTCGTGAGCAGGTTACCGTCATTAAGAGAGGTGCAGCACCGGTTGATCCTTGTTCTGGTTATGTCGGTGAGAGTTATATTGGATACATATGAGTTCCCAGATTGACGACCCTCTATTCATAGACACCCACCAGGTGCTCGCTACTGATGATGGCGTCTGGGATGCAACACTTAATCAAACAGACGTCGGGAAGAACGCGAACAAGTGGGTATCTGACTATATGCGCTCCGATACCGTAGGTCCGTCTGCTTAACGTTTGTTCAGATTCTACGTGATTCAAGTACTGCACCCGGTCGGAAACATCGATAACTGCACGTTATTCACGCGCTGGGGTCGTGTTGGCGAGAATGGGCAGCAACAAAATAAGGTGGGCAGATGCAGAGTGTGACGATCCCAAGTCAATTGACGGGTTCGAATCTCATAGGGTCCTTTCATGTCCACTATCGCCATCAGTGAGTTCAAGAAACAGTTCAGAGCAAAAGCTTCTGTTGCATGGGAGCAAAGGCATGGTATGGTCGCCAAGAAAGGTGTGCAACTGAACAATCTCACATCTCTACTTGCTGATGTTAATGTCATTGGGATCAGGAAAATACCAGTGGATCGGTAGGTCGTTAAGAGCATAAGAGAAGTTATTAGCATGGACTTGTAAAAATGCAGAGCGTGTCTTCGAAGATGAGGATGAGTCGAAGGAGGATAAGGGTGAGGGTGAAGGCCCTTCAAAACAAGAGGTCGAGAAGATACCCGACTCTACTTTGCCGACAGAGATACAGGTCGGTCGACGTTCAAACTCTGATCTTCAACTTAACATATCATCTCCAGACTCTGTGTAAACTGATTTTCTCAGCAAAGTAAGTCTTATCTATGATGATATTTCATTCCGCATTCAAGTCTCTTTCGGCAAGGTTGATCGATGCTCACCTGTCCTCCATGAACTACGACGCAAACAAACTCCCGCTTGGTACAGTTGCATTCGTCTTTGTATTGTTGTCGGCCCCTTACATGCGATACAGGCAAACTTGCGAAGTCGACAATTCTCAATGGATTCTCTGCGCTCAAAGTGAGCTCACCTGTTGAATACGTGAATTTTTTTTTCGAAATTGATCGTTCGTTGTGAAGGCGCTATCGGAAGTGCTCAGTCAACCTAACGGCGATACTGCTACGCAGTACGGGGGTTTTCAATCTGCGACTGCAGAGCTCACAGGACGGTACTATTCGTGAGTGCAATTTCATTTCAATATAGCTTTCCGGAGCTAATGGAAGTCTATTAGGATTATTCCCCATGCATTTGGGAGAAATAGACCTACCGTCATCGACAATTTAGAATTGTTGAAGAAGGTACGTTGACCCTTTTCCACCACAATATACAATCTAAATTATGATTAAACATCCCTAAGGAACTCGACCTGGTCGACGCACTCGGTGATATGGTCTGTGATTTCTCGTTGTCCACGGCAGGCATTATTTCTTATGAATTGTGCTGCAGGAAGTGGCCTCGAAAATTATATCCTCTGCCATACCGCGAAATGACCAAGGAGAGCCCGTCAACCCGATGGACGCCAACTTTCTTTCTCTACGTCTCACCAATATGTCTTCCATCGCACAGAGCAGCAAGGAGTTCGACGTACTGCAGACCTATGCCCGCGATACGCACGGGGCGACACACCGACACTACCAAGTGCAGGTGCAGCACGCGTTCCGTGTCGAGAGGTGCGCGCTTTCTCTTATATAGCATGTGTCTGTTGTATTATAAACTCAATTCGTGTGTCGATAACAGACAAGAGGAGACGGACGCTTGGATGAAAGCTGGGCATGACAAGCTTGGAGACGGAGACCGATTGTTATTGTGGCACGGCTCCCGGACTACCAACTTCGCAGGTACTGCAGCTTGTGCCAGTTCATGCACAGCCGACATCTCACCGTAGTATCTCAGGTATCCTCAAGCAGGGTCTGCGCATCGCACCTCCGGAAGGTAAGCATATTAATTCAGCGTCTTATGCTTGGCTGAAAGCAATGATTTTCAGCGCCTGTTTCTGGTATGCCTCTGTGCCCAAGCTCCGACGCAATTTCCTTATGTTTTTGCAGGATACATGTTCGGCAAGGGTGTCTATTTTGCGGATGTAAGTTATCATAACCATTACTCACAAGTATATCTTATTCATATTAATTTTCCGCCCAGATGATGTCTAAAGTAAGTACACCTAGATCGATACTCTCTCACAAGTAATTTACCTCTGTTGTGTGCAGTCTGCGAACTACTGCCACGCATAGTACGTCTCTTATTGTACATCCTCGGTGAACTCACGTCACGCATTGTGGATAGTTTAAGCGATAACACGGGCCTGCTTCTTCTTTGCGAGGTCGCTGCGAAACCGTTCTTCGAGCTACATAACAGCGATTACGAGGCTGGCACCGCATGCAAGCAGGCGGAAAAGAGGTCAGCACGCTGAAAATCTCACTACATCCGTCTCCTTGTTGTCTCTCCCTTTGCCATGATCGCACCTCTTCTCAAGCGTGACTGCACTCTCCGTCACCCTCCTCTACCCATAATAAGGATTGAGAACTGAAAAGTCCCTGCAGATGCACGAAAGGCCTCGGCCGCACTCAGCCAGCAGCGTGGCAGGACGCCGGAGCCGCTCTAGAAAATGACGCTCTCAGAGGTGTTCACATGCCCAAGGGGCCCGGGCAGGAAGGCGCCGACGCGCAGGCGAGACTGCAGTATAACGAGGTGCGTTCGCCTGCTGTTGCATGCTGGGGCGAGATGCCGTCGTGCTAATTGCGTCGTGCGAATCCCAGTACATCGTGTATGACCCGTCGCAGATCCGTGTGCGGTACCTGCTGATGGTAAAGATGGGGTAGAACATGCTGGACAATGTAGTATGGGGAGGCGCCGTCTTGTACTGTAACCATCCGCGATTCCCGACTCGTTTTCCATTGACTTGTACTCGCAGTCGGATTCTGTCATTCATATTGTTTGCTTACCCAGATTTTTCCAAAACCTAGCGTGGTGCATTTATTTTGTCCATCAAGTACAGTGGTGATAAAGATGCATGAAATACAAGGTCGCGATACAGGCTAATATAAGGATGAAAGTTCTAGTCAAACCAGCTCCTATCTTACCTCAAGCCACCGTAAAAATCCCTCCCATCATTACGCCAACTAGCGTGGTACTTATACTAACGATCTGCGCTAGATAAGGCGAAAATGCTCTTGCGCCCGCGCTCGCGGAAGTTGTTGTAGAACCAGTTGTTGTGGAGCCTGACGTCGTGGAACCTGCAGTTGTGGAACCTGTATTTGTGGAGCCTGTCGTCGTAGAGGTAGAACTCGTCGATGTAGAACCTGTCGATGTAGAACCCGTCGATGTAGAGCCTGTCGATGCAGAGCCTGTCGATGTGGAGCCCGTCGATGAAGAGGCTGTTTCAGTTGTTGCGCCAGATGCAGCTGCGAGCGAAGCAGTCTGCGCGAAGCCAATGGGACGCGTCTCTGTCGTGCTCTGAGTTGCTGCAGATGTGGCCGACGCCGCACTGCGCGAACAAATCAATCAATCAGCTCCTGCTCAACGAAACAGAGAAAGGAGACGCACGCTGAGCTTGCCGCGCCAGCGTCCTCGTTGGTGTTGAGGAGGACGCGGTCGATGACGTGCACGACACCATTGCTGAGGAGCACATCAGGCTGGACGATGAGCGCAGTCTGCCCGCCACTCGTCACATACTGCCCAGTAGAGTTGATGCTGGACGAGAACACCTCACCCGACGCGGACGTGAAGTTCGTCCCAACGAGCTCGGGCGAGTAGGCACTTGTCCCGTTGATCAACTATGAACCATGAGCTGCAAGGACTGCTTTATGGAATGGATGCGCACATGGTTTTTTAGAACAATCTCAAGTAGCGTGGTGTTACTCTCAAGGCTGGCCAAGTCGGACGCTATCGCAGCAACAGCGGTTGAATTGGGCGCAAACAGCGTGAAACCGTGTAGCCCATTGTTGACGACGGAGAACACCGATGTGTTGGTCGTCTGTCCGGTTGATGCGTTGAAGAATGGAGCGCTCACATTGCCCAACGCTGAGCTGATTCCGCCGAATGCGTCGTTGTTTGAAGCAACGGTCTGCTCGAAGGTTCCGGGGAAAGTGAGGATGTGGTCAATGACGTTGATGGTAATGTTGCCGAAGCTCGTGGTATTCGTAACAATGGTATCCATTCTGATGAGCATCTAATCAGCTCCGGCCTCGCATGAGATAGACTAATTTACGGCTGGTTCAAGACAGTAACGTGATCTGTACGAAATGCCCAGGCAAGCACTTGACTCTGATTGCCTTCGAGCTGAACGAGTTGCGAGTCGTTGAGGAAGGTACGGCCAAGAGTAGTGTTCGCATAACTAGTATTGACTCCGCTGAAATTACCGGTTACGAGATGGTATGCAATGAAGTTGTCTATGTTTGTAAATGCACTAGAGGGCGCATTGGAGACTGACAGAATTCAGTTGATGCAGAAGTCCAAAATGAACTACTTGCTCACAAGCAGTATCATTCGGAGCGAACAATGCATAAGGGTCCCCGTTAGAGAGCGCGGTGAGGAGAGAGCGACCTTGATCAGATGAATTGAGCTGGGAAGCAAGGCCGGAGAGAGAGCTGGCGCCCGTCTCGTTGAGCGTGCTCAACAATCCGGCCAGGAAAGTCTCATTCTGCGCAAGGGCGAATTTCACAGCGGCGAGGAGAGCGATCGAGCTGAGGTGACTGATGAGCTTCATGACGATAGCGAAATTTGTAAGGAGGTAGGACGGAAGGAGGACAGGGTCGAAGATCTGTTTTCGGCGGGTTTATATGGTGCTCCAAGCGGGTAAATTCCAAGTTGGAGCGGAAGAGAACAGGGGATGATGGGTGCTTCATGGACCATAGTAGCCACATGGAAGCGGTTTACATACAATTTAGAAGTGCATTGACGGTGCGCAGCGGGGAGAAGAGGCGACCAAAGTTGCCAAATGCCGGTGATTTTTTCTCGCATCAGACAGATGGTGGTATATTCAATCCACTCGTGTGTACTCTCCCTAATGTGCAAATATGCATGCCTTCCGCTTCGTCAGCGGTGGTATGTTCAGGAGCTACTGGATACACACCCATATGATTCTAGAGCTCTGATGTGTAGTTAAGAGGCTAGACGGCTGGATACCTCCCTGCTTCCGCTCATCAGTATGCCATCTTTGGCACTGCGTCCGCACCCCTCACTCCACTGTGTCTTGGCACAGACCTGGGGCGAACGAACCTGATTTCAGCAAAGGCGGATCCAAATATCTGAGACGGAGAAGCATTGGAGATATTATATATCGACAAAAGGATTCTTTGAGACTTTATGTGCAATGGGCGAGAATGTGGGCAAGGTTGAAGGAGTGATGCTAGTGAAGCACACAGCCTTTCTTCTGAACTACGACGCCTACCTAAATAAGACTAAGGAGCCGCAGAATTCCATGCATAACCTATCTTACCGACGTCTGGATTCCATAATAATCCGGGCTCGTCTCTCAGTTTGGTTTCAATATTCGGAGAGAAGAGGTGGCCTCGCGTCCTGTCTCACCGATATAAACTGGCTCATATAGCGAAAGTAAATTGCGAGAAAGCGCATTTTGGCGCTCGCAGCCACCGCGCACTCGTTTTGATCATGTCCGCCACTACCGCAAGACGAAAGCCCGCCCCCCGTCTCCCCCGCCCCGCTGGCCGATACTGGAAGGGAAAGGCACCAAAGGGCGCGGGAGAGGAACCCTCCGACGACGACGAGGACTACGATGCTGAGGCCCAGGAGGTGCCCGAGGAAGAGGGCGATGTCATGATCCGCGATGTGGGAGAAGAGGAAGAGGAAGAGGAAGCAAGACTGGATGTACGCGCAAAAGACGTTGGGAAGACAGGTGGGAGGGCGATGAATGTCGCATTACGGGACGTGAACATCTCGAAGGAGGGACGTGTGATCGTCGCGGGTAGAGAGGAGGTCGGGCGAACGGAGGCTGAGCTCGAGCAAGGTGTGTACGCAGTCTCAGTTCATCTAAAACCACAGCTCAGTATGAGCAGAGGAAGAAGAAGAGGGAGAGGATGCGGGTGAAGAGGTACTTCCAGCACTCTCACACTTGTTTCGACTAACTGTTCTCATGCTCTAGTCTAGCGAGGAGTCCGAATCCTCTGAGGAAGAAGAGTCTGAAGAGGAACAACCAAAACCACAGTTCCGGCCTGTATTCGTACCCAAGTGCGTCTTAATCCGTTCCTCCCTCCCACGTCGACTGACGCATACACGCACTTGTTCGGCCAGACGTGCACGAGCGACGGTGGCAGAAATGCAGGCCCTCGCAGAAGACACGGAGGAGGCACTGCAGCGGAAGGAGCGTGAGGCGGAGGAGCGCAAGAAGCAGAGCCATGACATGGTTGCCGAGAGCATCCGGCGTGAACTCGCAGAAAGTGCGTCTCGTATATTGGCCAGCTTAACTATCTAACTGTCTTTCTTCTCTTTCTACCATTGTCTCCATGTCACGTCTCCCTCTTCAACAGAAGAAAAAGAAGCCGAAATACCGGATGTTGACGACACCGACGGGCTCGATCCCTCTGGCGAGTTTGAGGCCTGGCGTCTGCGCGAACTCGCGCGCATCAAACGCGACAAGGAGGCTGCGATTGCCCGCGAACTCGAGCGAGAGGAGATCGAGCGACGGAGGGCGCTTCCCGAGGAGCAGCGTCTGCGTGAAGACATGGAGCATGCGGAGAAAAGCCGCAAGGAGAAACCAAAGGGGCAGCAGAAGTTCCTGCAGAAGTACTGGCACAAGGGCGCGTTCCACCAGGTGCGTTGAATCTTCTGTCCCGTTGCATCTTGTTCTAAACGAATAACCTTTCACCATTTGTGCAATTGCTGCTGATTTTAGGACGAAGAGATTCTTACACGCCACGACTTCACAGAGGCGACAGAGTCCACTCTCGATGTTTCCGTGCTCCCAAAAGTCATGCAGGTGAAGAATTTTGGCAAGCGGGGGCGCACGAAGTACACGCACTTGCTGGACCAGGACACAACCGTAGCAGCGGGTGGTTTTGGGGGTGCTGCCCCTGTGGCTGCAGGTGGAACTACTGGCGCGGGGTGTTTCTTGTGTGGCGGGCCACATATGAAGAAAGGTGCGCAATCGGATATGCATGTTCTTTCTCTCCTTTCAATATTGCTTGCTTTTGATTCCGTTCGATGACATCCACATGTTTCGTCTATCATGTTGACGTTTTTACCCTGATTATATGCGTACTCACGCATACCTGCCCTTCGCATAGATTGTCCGCAAAACAAAGACTTTCCCCCAGGCCGTATAGGCACTGGCGCGAACGGCACGGCGCCTGGAACACGACAATGGGGCGCACGACCACGCATAGATGAGGGTAAGGGCAAGGCACAAGACGATGGCCGAGAATCGTGGCAGGACAGAGATCGCGATCGAAATCATGAGCGAGACCGTGGTACATATAAAGACGCTAGGAGGGCGGACGGGGATGGCCGCGACAGGCGGAGAGGAGATGACCGAGAGCGATATCGCGAGAGGAATCATGAGACGCGTGCGCAACGCAGGTCGTATACCCGCTCACGATCAAGGACGCCGCCTAGGCGAGAGCGGTGGTGGGACGAAGAGCCAAGAAGAGAGAGGCGGCGGTCGAGAGAGCGAGAGGCAGAGGCGCATGGGGAGCATAGGGAAAAGCGGAGAAGGGTGGATTGAATGTGCCGGATTGCGTGGAGTCGTAGCTGTGTATCTCTGCATGGCTCTTTGTATATGCTTATTGAATGATGCTATTTTGTTTTCGAAGGCAATGCATGGAAACTGGCATCTCCCAGAATTGCAACACATGCAGTCCTCCGGATAGCTGCTGGCACCAAGGTCTTCCTTTCTTAGTGTCAGTACCCCGCTGCGCTGACTAGTGCGCCTATGCTGTGCGTTATCTAGTTGCCTAAGAGATGCTAGTGTCTTCGACACGTTTGGGTACGAGACCAGCTAGCTCATCTACGTACCCTGGTAGAGCAGTACTTTCAATTTATGCTGTAATATGAATGAATGCACTTGACGCACAGCCCGATGAATCAATTCTGTGGCGACAATGTGAGAGGATATTTTAGCGGAATGTAACGCTGCCTCTCCGAAGAACGCACGTAGCCTCACTAGTACGCGTAGTCAATGCAGCCTCCACGATCAACGTTGTCAGCAGTCCTTCTTTGCGGCGCCAATCTGCCAATCTGTACGCTATGGCCGACGCCATCATTTTAGCTCAAACGTTGGTGCCGCGTAAGTTCGTAAACCTTAGGATCGGTGGGCACCCATGTGTATAAAACTCTCGGTCTAAGATATGAGGCTGAGCGCACGCTCTCGGAAACCGTGTTCGTGCCGCGACTCTGCTCACACTATCCTCTCTACTCCTGAAGCAGGAATTACTTTCAGCGCATCTTCCGCAAATCAAGCTCCCCGCTCTCCGCTTTCTATTCGTCGGTATCAGCCTGCATCAAGACCATATCATACGACAGACTCACTCGTACGCAGAACCATTTTAAATAATGGGGAAATTCTATGAGTCCATCCCACCAAACCTCATCAAGTGGATCAAACTTCAACAGCTGTTCTGGGTAGCCAGTGCACCGTTGAGCGAGTACGGACACGTTAATGTCTCTCCGAAAGGACTGCGGGGTTCGCTCCATATCGAAGATCCGAATAGGGTTTGGTATGAAGACGTCACAGGCAGCGGTGAGCCCCGAACGGTCATATAGTTCGAAAGATGTAACCCTAAGGTTTCTAAACCGCCAGGAAGCGAGACAGTAGCACACGTCCGCGAGAACGGGCGGATGACTATCATGTTTTCTGCATTCGAGGGTACGCCTAGGATCCTGAGGCTGTTTGGCAAAGGTGTGTTATCGTCCGTCGGGGCGGGTGCGTCTGGCGCAGGCTGACAACCCTACGTTCGACAGGCACGGTGCACGAGTTCGGAACACCAGAATATGAAGCTTTGCTCCCACCGGACCGGCGCCGCCCCGGCTCGCGCTGTGCGGTCGTCATGGATGTAGAGAAAGTCGGGACGGTACGTCTTCACAAATAGCTTGCTTTCGCTTAGCCTCAAGTTCCACTCTGCAGTCCTGCGGCCTGGGAGTCCCGCTGTATACGTTCAACTCGCATCGCCCATCGCTCCTCAACATCGCCGCGCGGCTCGAGGACGCCGATCAAGCATTCGATGGCGAGGCGACGCAAGCACGCGATTCCGATGTGGATCGCGGGATTGCGGAGAAGGGCATCAAGGCGTGGTGGACGGCACAGAACACCGAGAGCATAGATGGTCTTCCTGCTCTGCAAAGCGCATTCAAGTCCCATGTAACACCTGTGCATGCACCACCAGATGGGGAATGGGGGAAAACGACAGAATCTCAGCCCTCTCAGCCCTCTCAGTCCTCCCAGCCCTCCCAGCCCAGTCAAGCAGGAGATCGCAGGCCACTTCTCGGCACGAAGGACGGACTTATGGAGGTTTTGAGGCTGATATCAGTGTTCTTGATGGGATTAGCAGTAGCTGCAGCGTACATCAAAACCTCCCATGACGTACAAGCTATGTAAAAAATCGAGTGTTATGTTTCATTTCTCGATCTATGTAAATGTGAGCGTTTACCATGAGGTTCGCGAAGGCCGTGGCGCATGTTCAAGCCAAAGAAGAGGGCTTACATGCGTCCATTACGTTGGATGTATCGGTGCTGTATAATACACTCGTGAAGGCAGCCCTGGGAGCACTCAGGGTTCGATATTCAATAGCTGCCGATGGCAAGCCGAGACTACATTGAGTCGCTTGCGATTGAACTTAGATGCGTCACGAAGGTCTGTGTTTTGAAAAACATACCTATTGTTTCACTACTAATAACATGGCCAGGATCCAGGTGATTTGATGTCCAAAGCCATGCCAGTCGGAGCAGGCATGACCTCGCTTGATATGACGCTTCAAATTCGTTATCACTATTCATATCTACAACCTTCGCAGCGCTAATCGACGCGTGTTCGTACGTCTTGAAATGCACGGGCGCGACTCGACTCGAGTCATGGGGTGGGAATGGCCTTCCGCGCAGTGCACTATAAAAAGTTGCAAGGGACAGGAGACCGCCTGACGATCCCCCAGTCATACTCGGAGTTCTCGCGCTCAGATTCGCAACTTCAGAATCCAAATTGAGAGTCCGACACGATGGTCAAGTACTACGATGAGATTTCACCAGAGCTCGCCAAGTGGGTCGAGGAGCAGCAGATGTTCTGGGTCGCGAGCGCACCACTGACCGGCGATGGACACGTAAATTTGTCGCCAAAGGGGCTGCAAGGGACGTTCCACATCGTGAATCCGAATAAGGTGTGGTACGAAGACTGCACGGGTAGCGGTGAGGATGAAAGTTCTTCGCCACGCGAGAGTTGGAGATATTGATCTGATTTGACATGATGATCCCAGGGAGTGAGACAATGGCGCATATCCGCGAACCAGGGAATGGGCGAGTGACAATCATGTTTTGTGCGTTCGAGGGTCCGCCCCGAATCATGAGGCTCTTCTGTAAAGGTATGCCTCCATATGTCTTCGTGCAAGGAACTTTCTGCTCTCCGCTGGAATGTACGCTGACAAAGTCACATCCCTAAAGGCACGGTATATGAGTTCGGCACAATAGAATATCAAACCCTGCTCCCTCCAGAGAAGCGTCTGCCAGGGTCACGCAGTGCCGTAGTGCTTGACGTGTACAAAGTCCAGACGGTATGGGCCAAGCTTCCTCCCAATTCCGCCTCAATGCGCTAACACATTACCTGTCAGTCCTGCGGCTACGCCGTCCCATTATACAACTTCGTCACGCATCGCCCAACGTTGCTTAATTGGACTGCGCAGCTCGCAGCCGCCGATATCGCCTCCCATGGTAATCCAGAATCAGCAGACATGACGCCAGATTGGAAGGTGCCAGAAAAGGGTCTGAAGGCGTATTGGGCAAGGATGAACACGGAAAGTTTGGACGGCTTGCCCGCTATGAAAGATGCACACATATCAGCGGTGGCACCGACACACGCGCCATCGGAGGGTCGATGGGGTAAAGATGTGACAGTGCGTACGTGCGCGGGCCAGATGTCACAAACGACAGGCTGGGGAGAGCATGCGGAGTCGGCAAAAATCCTGGCGGCGTTCGTCGTGGGCTTGGCTATATCGGCGGCATTTAGCAGGCTAGCAGGTGTAGCATGAAGAAAAGTGGAGATCAGTGGATGTGATGAGCTCGTAAAACAGGTAAGCATACTGTGTCCATGTCATTGCTCCCCCCCTTATTGACAAGTCGCTAGGTGTTGTATCGTTACGCGGAAAGAGATGTATTTACAATGACCTGATGTATTGTTGAACAGTTGTGGTATCCATCCAAAATTTGAGTGTGATCACATAGGGCGAGGCTGCGTCCAGAATGTACGGTTATTGGCGCCCTGGTTGGGGTTTAACATGCGCCCGGCGACACGGAGTATGTGCATCAATCCATCAAACATCCACAAATCTTGACGAGAGCAGCGACTGCACGGCGAATGCTACAAATAATTCTGCCCGCATATTCCAGTTTGCAGGACCTGCGCCGGAAAGCAACGAGGACGAGGCTATCCGTGGAGGCGATAAGTGGTATCGAGCAAGGTTGTAGTGTGAGTATTCGAACGATACAGTAATCTTCCGGCCCCAAAGAGCTTTCCGAGTTTGTTGAGACTTCTCTCACTCATTTCGTCTTTATTCCGATGCTCCACCGCTCTTCATATCTTCTCTGACCCACTGCAAAAGGTTAAGCGTACGCATGACAATGCACACTTAGTATAGTAGAATTTACTGAGACGCTTGCGAATGCGGAAAAGTGAGAATTGTCGGAAGACATTGGGCGCTTGGCCCCATTACATGACACGTGTTAATGCTGCGTCGTTCCACATTAGGAAGGTTTCGTTGATCGTGCGGGGAACCTTTTGTCTCTGCCATTTCCACAAAGTTCAGCAGATAAATTGCGTGATTTGTTTCTAGGGTCATTCAATGAGAGTAGGTGATATGATTAGGACTGTTCAAGTCAAAAGCTCTCAGCATACGAAATCATGGGCGTCGTATGAATTTGCCGACTGTAACCCGAGGGCTGCACCACGGAAGAAAATGGCCAGCAACTGGCGCGGGCATCGGCAAACATTGGCCGAAAGAATACAAACGACCCTGAGCCCTCAGAATATTTATAGGTAGGTCGCCATACTTGTTGCTCTCAGGCTCCTGAGCAATCTTGTTCCCGAAAAGAATGAGAGTTCAACGTTGAGTGCATCTGTTAGGAAAATACCAGTGACTGAGGTCTTATTTTAGTAATCTTGTATTAGTTTGAGGATTGAACTGCACACATATAGCTGGAAACGCACGTGGAATATGATGTTTCGCGGTCGAGTCAGAGTTGTTTGTTTGTCCACAGAAGCAAAGAACGAGCGGGGATATTATGAAGATATAAGGGACAGATGGCGGAGGACACATCAACGCTCCCTGAAAGTGTTTAAAATTCCCACCTCGACCCAGAACACTCAGCCATGGTCAAGTTCTACGACAAAATTCCACAAAACCTCGCCAAATGGATGGATACACAGCAGGCGGAGAAGGGCATGTCAATCTATCGCCGAAGGGATTGCGGGAAACGTTCCACATAGAGAACCCAAATCAAGTGTGCTACGAAGATTGCACAGGCAGCGGTAAGTTCTTCGTTTGTCGCGAACAGTTGCGAATGGTGTTGATGCTGTGCGGTGCCTCACGTTCCTAGGAAGCGAGACGATGGCGCATACGTGAACCGGGAAACGGGCGGGTGACTATTATGTTCTGTGCATTTGAAGGTGCGCCGCGCATTTTGCGGCTTTTCTGCAAAGGCAGGTAACTTCCTCGCTCTCCCAAAAGGCAGCGGAGATTGGTCCACGAACAAAGAATGCTGACGCTGCACCAGGCACGATATATGAGTTCGGCACGGCGGAATTTGACACACTCGTCCCCGCAGACAAGCGTCTCCATGGCTCACGTTTCGCTGTTGTTCTTGATGTCTACAAAATCCAGACAGTGGGTGGTGCATTCCCCCGAATTATATATTTCCGCATTTAACGTGTCTCTTGCCAGTCTTGCGGATTTGGAGGGCCGCTGTATTCGTTCGTTGCGCATCGCCCCACCCTCAACTGGTCTGCCCAGCTCGCAGCGGCAGACCTGGCGTGTGATGCGGAAGAAGAAAGTCCGTCGGAACCGCCTAAAGAAGACCTTTCAAGCCGTAAGAGTGGTTTGAAGGCATACTGGGCCAAGACGAATGTCGAGAGCCTCGGTGGTCTCACAGCGATAAAGAGTGCACACGTGTCGGACGTAACGCCAGCACACGCACCACCGAGTGGAGAGTGGAGCAAGGACGCACAAGCGGCGCTCACAAACACGACTCGGCAGACTGGGGTAAACTCGAAGGTGGTGGAGGGAGCAAGCTGGATTACCTATGCGGAAGTGATGATGGTCCTCTCAGCATTCCTTATGGGGTTGGCTGTCTCTGCGATGTATGTCGAGGTTGCATGTGTGACCCGAAGCTGCTGAGATGAAGGCTACGCAAGAGGGAAGACAAGTATAGGCTCGGTATAGGATCGAGATTCTGGTGTGCGGGACGTGAATGGCTTCAGTCAGTGCTATAAAGCACAATTTGTATTCACTGTATAATTTCCAATCTGTTCTTTGTTTGATGGACTACGGCGCGACAGGGCTGTTAAAGTCTCACCCCTTAATCATTCAGTAAATCCCCACTCACATGAGCGATCTTTGTGAAGCTTTGGCTCCAGCCTTGCAAATTACTTTACACAGCCTTTGCTAATATATCCTCCTCCCTCGCCGAATACGCGCGCCTGGCGCTTTGTGCGACGGTTGCTTCCAGCGCTTGCGGAGCGCAACGTGAGAATGTACCGCCAATCCCCTAGACCGACGACCGTGAACCGGAAACAAAACTGGTTACGCTCTGTTCTTCAGAATTTCCTTGACGCGTGAATTTCCCACCCTCTACTTACGGAGTTGTCGAAATTCCAAGTCGAAATACATTCTCTTTGGAAAAGATCATCATGTAGCATGGGACGTGGCCGACGTGGCAAAGAATAGTCCTATTCATGCACTGGCTATCATAGTGCCAAGGATAGCCCAAGTCAGGGGTGGGTTGCACATTATCTGCCAGTGAACGCGAGAGAGATAAACTTCAGAAAATTTCAGAAACAACTTATCTGTAAGCTGGGGCGATCGATCACGAATCAGACTTGGCTCGGGTCAGTCATCAAAACAGGCATGACTTGATTATAAGTATTCGAGACATAAACATAAATTCTCGCGCATATATAAGACACCTGACATTTCAACCTTCTTCTCCTTCCCCTCACAATTTTACAAACCTGGGACTCTCGATCCTCTTCCTCTCGTTGAAGTGCTCTACGTCTGAGTCAACTTTCCTGTCTCAACAACAAGCAGACGACCATGGTCAAATTCTACGAGTCCATCCCCCCAAACCTCTCCAAATGGATACAAGCTCAAGAGATGTTCTGGGTTGCGAGCGCGCCCGCTGGTCCGAGTGGGCACGTCAATGTGTCGCCAAAGGGCGTCAGGGACACGTTCCGCATTGAAGGACCCAACAAGGTGTGGTATGAGGACTTTACAGGCAGTGGTATGTCCTACGTCTGACTTAAAGCCAAGAACGCATAAGTTGATACCAGCCAACAGGAAGCGAGACTATGGCCCACCTTCGCGAGAACGGCCGAATTACGATCATGTTCTGCGCATTCGAAGGTGCCCCCCGCATTCTGAGGCTGTGGGGAACGGGTATGCTTTTTGTGCCTGGTGGTCTCACCACCCAGCGGATGACCTCGTGCCCACAGGCTATGTGCACGAGTTTGGCACGCCCGAGTATGACGCGATTATCCCACCCACCAAGCGGCGTCCCGGTTCACGTTGCGTGGTGGTCATAGACGTAAAAAGGGTTGGAACAGTACGTAGCCGATTCACATTTCAGCAAGTTTTTTGAAAGACGTTCCGTCCCGTAGTCCTGCGGAACAGGTGTCCCGCACTACACTTTTGTCCGCCAGCGCCCGACCATGCTCGACTGGTGCGCTCGACTCGAAGTTGCCGACCAGACATTCGACGCCGAGGCTCCGTCCGACCCCGACAGTGAGCGTGTAGTCTCGGAGAAAGGCATGAAAGCGTGGTGGACGAAGGAGAACTCGGAGAGCTTGGATGGCCTGCCTGCCATGAAGAGCGCCCATCAGACGTACCTGACGCCGGAGCACGCACCGCCGAATGGGGAGTGGGGAAAGAATGCTAAAAACCGCCTAGAGGTCATAAACGCTCAAAAGAAAGTGAAGAGTACGCCTAGCGGGTACGCGGAGCTAATCAGGTTATTATCGGCGTTCACCATGGGTCTTGCTGTGGCCACGGCGTATGTGAAGGTCACTTTTGCCGTGTAGAGGGAGAAGAAATTCGACCTGTTGTGTAATCTCGTTTCCCACCCGCAAAGGCTCAGACGGGTAGAGGTGCAGAGAGGCTCCCAAATTCCCAAGTCTTGTTCGTGTTCGTATAACTATGTACCCGCAGATTCGATTTGCCCTTGTAAACAAACAATGAATTGTACTGTCTAGACGTGGGCGTGTGAAGTTTCAAATCAAAGCTAGGTGAGAGAGGAGCTGTAGTGGTGGCTTATTGAATCCAATGAGAAGCCATGTGACGGCAGTGATGCTGATGTATCTAAGGCTCGCGGGGGACCTTCATTCTGGAATAGAACTTATACCAGTACTCCGGTATGTGAGTTCTCCTGAGGCCTCCGACAGGCTCCGAGAAAGTTATTTAGATAATTCTTCGTGAAAAATATTACCTCGCTCACCGCCGATTACCGCGATCCTAGAATGAAAGCCGAGGACAGCTGTATTCATAGATATATGCGCACCTCTCAATCACTCGGACTCTTTCTCCGCAATGCAATAACAATAAATGTCGCTTCCGCGAGCGCATCCCGTAGACCGACGTCGATATATATACCTACACAGTGACAGCGACTGCACCGCCAGAGTACATGCCTGATAGTGCCCAGCCAATGAGAAAGACAGCAAGCATCTTCAGAATCTCGATATCCACCGACACGCCCTTCATCACCTCAAGGGACCGCCGACTCGTGTTGACTGGTGGCTCCGCAGGGGTTAGGATCTCGACGGGGGGCTGCTCCGGTTCGGGCCACTTCTCACCATCGGGGGGAGAAACATGGGTCAGTGGTTTGGGCGAGAGATGGCCTACATCCATCCCAGGAAGGCCGTCGATGCTCGTGGTATTATGTCCCTCCCAGTACGCTTTCAAACCTTTGTCCGACCGCTGTACGTCGCCAGAACTAAGGTCATCCTGGTCGTGCTTCTCGAAGGTCAAGCTCATATTGAGGAGTGTAGGGCGATTCCCGACGTAGTTGTATATCGGAATCCCAAAGCCACACGACTAGGATAATAGTGCGCGAACGAAGACGTGATGAACGACAAGTTTCAGGGAATATCACTCGCTATTCCAAAAGTTAGAAAAATAGGAGACGCACCGTTCCAACCTTATGCACATCAACTACCACAACGCCACGAGAACCTGGACGACGCGTCTCTGCGGAGATAAGCTCCTCGTATTCGGGAGTCCCGAATTCAAAGTAAGTCCCTTCAAACGGCATCAGAAACAGCATATACGAAGGAAGGCAACATACCAACTCCAAACAGTCTCGCAATACGAGCTGGACCATCAAAGGCGCCAAATAATATAGTGATACGTCCGTTCTCCTTCAAGTGCGCGATGGTTTCCCCAGCTGGTCATCAGACATGAATGCAGCACTCAAGACCCTGAGCTGATGTGAAGACATGCAGAGAAACTCACTGCTCCCCGTGAAATCCTCATACCATACTTTGTTTTCGTTCACAATGTGGAACGTCCCATCTAGCCCCTTGGGCGAAACATTGACGTGTGCATCACCGCTCAGAGGTGCGGATGCCACCCAGAACAGATGCTGCTCGAGAATCCATTTGATGAGTTTCGGCGGGATGGAATCATAAAATTGCCCCATGATGTATGGTGGCTTCAAGCAGTCGGTGGCATCGCATATATAGTACCCCTGTGCCCTGCCTACTCGGGTCTCGCATACGCGCCAAAGTGGGCATTCAGATAGTTGAGCGCTCTAGGAGCGAACTAGATACGTCAATCTCGGCTGCTGCTTAGCGCAACCTGCGATCCCCAACACTATGGACTTGAAGCTGCAGTCGGGAACTAACCAGCCGCGGCGTGAAACTCGAAGCTGAAAGCGGAAACTGCAATCCCGCCTGCAAGGGGCCAGTTGACTCCTGTACGGCTCTGGGTTCGTGGACCAGTGACGACACCAACGAGTACAAAATCAGACCTGAAAGATATAGTGAGAACATGTGGGGAGGAGTAGGGATTGATGTATTATATGCTCAAGGATTCGCAGAGATTATGCTTGTTGCACGTACTATACTATACCAGATCGCCGGCTCAAGCCACCAGAGCGCCAACCCGCTTCCTCATATCCTTCGCCTTACTCGAACCTCTGCCTTTCGTTTTTCCGAATACGATGACTTTTCCCTGCTCTCCCGCTCGCCCCGACCGACCTGCACGATGGAGGAAATCCACCATATTCCGTGGCTCGTCGACGATAAATACATGCTTGATCTCAGGGGAGAAGTCCAGACCGCGGGATAGAAGAGAGGTCGTGATCATTACATGTGGATCTTCGCTAACGTCACCTGAGGAAACACCAGTCGCCTTCTCGCTGTCTAACCCAGATGTTGGCGCAGGATCCAATGAGGCTTCTTCGCCGTCAGAAACAACAGCAGGCCGCTCTCGTTCTCGCTCTCGGAGGAAGCCATCGAGGTGGTGATTCGAGCCCCGCTTTCGCATGTCGCCTGAACTCGTCAGCGCCACATTGGCGACACCTTTCTCTTTCAAATAACGTCCGAGATCTTCCACCTTCGTGTTCTTGTTGCAGAAAATGAGCACTTTGGACTTTTTATCATTTCCCTTCAGCGCATCTTCCATCCAGACCCTACGTAAGCGCCGCTCGATGTCCGCATTGCGATTCCCGCCAGTCCAGCTCGAGTACTCGGTTTTCAGTGTCGACGGGAGATGATGCAGGTTTGGAGATGCGAGACGGGTAAGCGCAGGGTGGTACGTGTCAAGGTACCAGGCAAGGGCAGAGGGAATTGTTGCAGTACTCAGTAGCAGATTGAACGGATAATTAATGGGAGAGGGCGAGGATGGCTCGGGCTTTACATTCGAAGATTCTTCGATGGGCTGGCCGCGAGCTTCGCTAATGGCTGAAAGAATCAGCTTTGTCTGATCTTGGAAGTCCGGATCTGCATTGCGGATGAGATGCGCCCTATCAGACTATATGCATTCGATAACGTACCAAAGAGGACATCTGCCTCATCGACCACAACCCATTCCACCCTCTCTAGACCCATCTGTGGTTCCCCAACAGTGAATGTCCTCGGCTTTATTGTTCTACCATGTTCATCCTTGTCCCATGTATCCTCAATGTTCGGTTGCTCATAGTCCCAACCACGTCCTTTTATAAGGGACAGGATCTTCGATGACGTACCCACTACCACATCAACCGGCCTTGCGGCCTTCTTCGACAGCGGCCCGAGAGCACTGGATGCCGCATCGTCATCTGCATCTGTACTGACAAGTGCCTCAAATTCCTTGGCCATTTTAGATGCAGTAGCACTTCGTTTAGGCGTGCTAGGCAAGTTGGCTTGTGAAGCGCAGAAAACACGCAGCTTAATACCATGCAGAAGAGCCTTGGAGAAGCTCGAGAGCTGACGAGCTAACTCATGTGTTGGGGCCAAGACCAGAGCGCGAGGATTGAGCGGTAACTTCTTCTTAGGACGAGAATTTGATCCTACTTCCTCAGTACATGCCGTGTTGGGGCGTAACTCGGAGAGCTTCAAGTCTTGTAGCATAGGCAGAAGGTATGCGATAGACTTGCCTGAACCCGTTTCTGAAGCCAGCAGGTATTGTTTCCACTGTCCCGAATCCTCATCCGACGGTCGAGTTGACGCCACGCCACCAGATACGCTAGAGGGTGGTTGATTGACCACATGTTTCAACGACAACGCTTGGATAGGAGTTGGCCGTGCATGAGGACCTAAGACGTCCAGCACGGATGTCAACAGACCCTCCATAAGAGGCGGAGAAGTGAACTCTGTGGGCAAATTTCGCGTTGATTCTGACTTCGCAGATACATCAAACTCGTCGCTCAACGGATTGTACACGTGTGGCTTCCTTGACGCATTGGTATCGCCCGCCACATCGCTGCCGCGAGTACTGTCACCATCCTTCTTGATTCCGAAGGTGTCGTCTCTGTATGACCGTTTATGGAGTTGATCCTTAGTAGTCCTCCATGGCTGGTCGAAGTCAGGGATATCGATGGCAGGAGATGCGACACTTTTTTGTTTGTATCCGCCTAAGCTGCGTTCCTTAGCATGCCACCCACCTCGGTTGGTTTCCGTAGGTTTAGCATTACGGCTCCGTTTTCGCTCAATAGCTTGCCTAACTCGCACTTTGTGCTCCGCATGTGATTTCAGCTTGTCCTCGGCTCCCGTGTGCGGTGCTTGGTCGCGCACAGGCGGCGGCGGAGGAGGCGGCGGAGGCGGTGCGACGACAAGCTTTCCAGCACTCTTGGTCCGAGAACGAGGGGTAAGATCCTTCACAAGGCGTTTACGAGATGGAGACGCTGGGTAGACGAAACAAGATGAGCTAGGTAACAAACAGTTAAATCACACAGCTTACGCGCGTTTGCAGAATTTCCCTTAGAAAAAGGCTTAGACGGCCGGGAGCCGTTCCTACTGGGCGAATGATAAGACGGTGAGGTGTGAATGCATGAAGCCCATAATAGCTCTTGCGGCAATGAATAGCGACAGTACTTTGCAGAGCGAGCCGAGGCAAGAATGGTTGACATCAAGGGAGAGTTTGAGATCAAGCAAGCAACAATTCACCTAGCCAGCAGCGAGTCCCCTTTGAGTACTCCGTGAGCTTTTTGTCCCTTGAGAATGCTAAAAGTGTCCCAGACGTTGCGGTATAAGAGGCGAGTGGATGATAGTGCAAATGACCCAATCTTCAAGTTGACAGCGAGTCGCACCCAGATAAATAACAAGGTGTTTATCATTTGAAAACTAAATATAAAAGCTACAGAAACAGCGTTGCTGCATATAGGCTACGGCACGAGTAACCCATCATATTCAACCATATTCAATTTACTCGACACTCTCGTTCGTCGAGCTGTTAAGCTTAGTTGAGATCTGAGACCTTCGAAAGATCTCACTAGCTTTCAGCTTCACGAACTCACAACGGCAATACAATATTCCAGGAAAGCATAGAGAATTCGCGAGATTGAAGTCTTAGACTCCAGTTCTTAGTTCCTCAAAGCTCACAGGGACGAAGTCACTGGCATTACAGATCGTATATACGCGAACTATGTGAGGGGAGCGGTCCTAGCACAAGCAGGTACGTGAGGTAGGATATCATCTATGAGTCACAAAAGTCCACTAGCGATCATGAACCTGGAGTATTTGAAAGCGAGTTTTGTTAGATCACCGTAACAGACCGACCAAGAGAGGCGAGAAGCAAATACGTACCACAGAACAGACGGTGGGGGTAATACCCCGGACAACATTCTCCCCCCTTTTATCTAGTAATTTCCTCGAGCAAGACTTGCGCAAGCCTGTCCAGCTCTCAGGCCGGAATCATCAGCTCGCCCCACGTCCGCATCGCTGCAATGCCGCCGAAAAACACCGCCACTCCCGTCAATATGCTCAAATTTCCCGGAAGTTTCTCGGGTGCCCAAATCTCTTCGCGCATGAAGGCAGAAAACCCGGATTCGTTTGGGTCGCGAAGTGCGCCTCGTCGCATGGGTGCGCCGGAATAGTAAGCAGGGCCGGAACCAGGTGGGGCAGAGCGACGCGCCATGAGAGCTCAGTTCAATTAGAGGGAGATATTATGAGGAGAGCGAGTCTGATACGCAGAACTAGATGGTATGAATGACGCGCTCCGTCAACGACGTGTCGACCAGTTTTGGAGCATCCGGGGGCTCAGACCCCTAACACTCGGGCGCCTCTAGTGTTAGAGGTCTCGGGTGTCAATAGATTCTACTATACTCGGAAACGGTCACCGCTTCGAGCTGTTTACAGTTTAAAGGGACCCGCTAAAGCTCAACCATCCACGAGAATTGATTGTTGTATGATAGCTTCTCTTTCAGAGCGTGAATTCATCTTACCGCTATTGTAGGACAATGTCTACCACTACTCTTGATGCGTTGTCTGGGCGGTTCATCAAGGTCTCATCCCCAGGCACTCATATTGCCCTTGTAGAGCTTTCCCAGTGAGTGTAGCTGCAACAGCTTTGTGATCTTGTTGACTCAGGAGGGACGTAAGCCAGCCACGTAATGCATTTGTCGAGGAGTGAGTCCCGACTGTAGTAGGGCTCTGTACAGCCGGTGAACAGTGCGCTTTATAGATTCTGGACGGAATTTGGCCACGTATTCGACAAGATCTCGGGCGAGCCCTATGTGCGGGTTGTGGTGCTTGCATCAGCGATTCCCAAGCACTTCTCTGCTGGAATTGATTGTAAGTATCAATTGTGATAATCAAGTTATGGTTACCCACTGATTGCGCATACAGTGGGTGCGCTCGCCAAGCTGAACACATACGACTCACGACCAGATAGACGAGCACTTCAAATACGCGAGTTTATCACTTTGTTCCAAGACTCAATCTCTGCTATCGAGCGTTGCCCATATCCCGTTATAGTTGCGGCCCATGGAACAGCAATCGGTCTTTCTCTTGATATCATAAGCGCGTGTGATATTCGGTATGCTGCATCGAATGTGCTCTTCTCTATCAAGGTCTATTTGTTTATCTCCGGACACCACGACATTTATTCATATTTATAAAAACGCAGGAAGTGGATATTGGGCTGGCCGCAGACATTGGTACCCTCGCACGGCTACCGAAGATTTCAGGTAACCAAAGCCTGGTGCATGAATTAGCATATACGGCGCGCAACTTCTCCGCCGCGGAGGCACAGCAAATTGGCCTCGTATCGCGTGTCGTGGAGGGAGGCCGGGATGAAGTCCTGCATGTTGCGATGGAGACTGCCACGATGATAGCAAGCAAATCCCCGATCGCAGTACTGGGGACGAAGCGTCTCCTATTACATTCGCGAGATCACAGGTGCGTGTCCATATAACAGGGGTCGCACATCCATTGACGAATTGCTGGTGGGAAGTGTAAAGGAAAACCTGGAATATACCGCATTATGGAACAGTGCCATGCTACAGACAGAGGTGAGTTATGTGCCGGTATCTCAACGTTTTAAGCAACTACATAATTGTACGCGCAGGATATAAAAGAAGCAATGAAGGCAGGAAAGACGAAGCAAAAACCCTCGTTTTCACAGTTGGCAAAACTTCCGTCCAAGTTATAGCGTCATGTAGAGACACCTGGATCGAATGCGCGCAGTTGTTGTCCTAACCGTAATCTGATTTTCGAATGTTACCAATATCTGAATTTACGTGGATGTTACGAGACGGAGACACATGAGTTGACACATGAATTTCTACATAAGCCGATGACCTAGATTATGGCCTCAGTATTATGCAACGTGGCCCTTGGTATACTTCTATCAAATTATCAATCGACCAGCCTAGAAGCTCCAACACTCACAATCGAGCGCGCTGGCCACCTTAACAAGGGACTCAGTCTATCCATGCGTCGCCGTGTGAAGTGGAGCGGGAGAAGAGAGTCCACAGTATACGGGGGTTGTGAGAGGGGAATGTATACATTCGTCAATTTCAACGTGTCATTTGACTGTACCAAAGTTCTCCCCCGAGGTGCATGAGAGATGCCGAGAAGAACAGAGGAACTGTCAACACGTCATACAATCCACATTTACCCCAGAAGAACTACGGGCAATTTCACAGTGCTCTCACGAAATGTATTGCGCTCACCACGCTGCGGATGAAGATGCTCATTGGTAGATTAGGATATGCTGAGGTCGTATGAGCATCTATAGCGCATGCCTGCTTTTGAGCTGAGGAATTACCAGAACAATCGGGAATCAGATGCAGCTTCAGGAAGCTCACCATTTAATCTATCATCGTCTCACGGCTCGCAAGGCCACGCATCATGCCTCTACCCCACGGTTTGAAAACCACTTCTGGTGAATCTTCGGTGAAGAGGCTCTAGAGGATCTTCAAGCAAACCCAAAAAGCGTTGTTGCTGCTAGCAATACTACTGCCTGTTGTACATAATAGCTGTGCTCCCGAATGATCTAAAACAGGCGCAGTAATAGAGTTGTTTCAGAAAGAGAACAGAGGCCGATGGGAGGTATGAGAAAGAGGTCGGAGGTAGGGCCGCCGCTGCGACTCGATGCGCCGGGAATGCAGCCAACCAAATACATGTAACTTCCATCTTCAACGACGACCACCACGACGGCTGCGACGACGACGACGACGATGTCCAGCAAACCGTCCCGTCTTGTCTCGTCGCCTAGCCCAACCCACCATACACCGAAGCTGCCTCGGTTTCTGCAGAAACAAACGAGAGATAGGTCCAAATCCCTCGCCGACCCCTCCGGGAGTACGAGCAGCACCGCGAGTTCGTCTTCATCGGGCTCGAATCCTGTCCCAGACACGCCCACAGACCAGAAGGGGATCAAGAAGAGCTTCCGGGGGAAGGAACGCGAGGAGAAGCGGCGCCAATCGCAGGACGACGACAGCCTAGTCGGCGACGACAACACCGGCGACGAGCCTCCCATCATCGTCGAGCCCGTCAACATCCCCCGCCCTCGTACTCGCTCTGAGCGGCCATTGTCTGAGAACGCATTCCCCCAGGTAGCATTCTATCCTTCCAGCTCATCTTCCCGCCTTTCCGACCTCCCCACTCGCCTCTCAGGCTGGTTCTCGCATACTTTCAGCTCATCCTCCACCGACCTCTCGCTTCCGTCTTTACTCACACAACAACACGTCGCCTCAACTACAACTGGCTCACCCCGGGCAAAGGGTTCTGCACTGCTCACAGCAGCTCGACACGGCAAGGGTCATCTTGACAAGGCGATGCGATATCTGCTCGACAGTGATGCAACGCCCGACAAATGTGCAGAGCCGATCTGGCTCTTGGGCGTCGAACATCCGGGGTACGAGCCCACACCGCCGCCCACAGCGTCGGCACTGGCATTGAGTGCTAGCGCAGGTGGAGGAGGTCTCGGGCGCCGGGGGTCGGTCGAGTCGCGCAAGTCGCCGTCCTCATTACGGTCCTCGGCGTCGTCTTCTCCTGTTGCACCCAACTCTCCCATTAGTTTTGATCCATCTCTTACGCAATCGCAGCCGTCGCCGTCTTCCGCACATCCGAAGGACCCATCGAAGAATTGGCCGCCGGTGTTTTATTCCGACTTTACTTCCCGAATATGGCTTACATATCGTTCACAATTTGAACCGATTCGAGATACGTCACTTTCAGCTCTTAATTATGATATGGATGAGCGCGCTGCGCCGACAAGCAGCCCACAGCCGAAAAGGTGGAATTGGGGGCTTGGTGGAGAGAAGGGGTGGACAAGCGATTCTGGTTGGGGATGTATGCTGAGGACGGGGCAATCTCTACTTGCGAACGCACTATTGCATTTGCATTTGGGACGAGGTATGCATACACACCTCCTGCCTAGAGTGTATTCTGAACGTTCACTTCAATGGTTTTATAGATTGGCGAAGACCACCATATCCTATATACACAGCTGACTTCGCAACCTACGTACAGATTATCTCATGGTTCCTCGATGACCCCTCCCCCCTTTGCCCTTTCAGCGTACATCGAATGGCTCTTGTCGGGAAAGAGCTGGGAAAGGACGTTGGTCAATGGTTTGGTCCCAGCACGGCTGCTGGTGCAATTAAGTACGTCTACAGGCATGATTGGTCATATTTATGTTCTTATCACTGGTTCAGGACCCTAGTTCATGCGTTCCCTGAGGCGGGATTGGGTGTTTCTGTCGCTGTAGATGGCGTGATATATCAGTCGGATGTGTATGCAGTTTCCAGATCTACCATGGGGCTGGGCTCTCCACGAAAACATGGACGGCCATCGTGGGGTGACCGTGCTGTTTTGGTACTCATTGGAATTCGATTAGGCATTGACGGAGTGAATCCAATTTACTATGACTTGATCAAAGTCAGTCAGTCATTGTTGAACGTTAGATTTCATTACTCACATTGATATCACAGGCTCTATACACGCTACCTCAGACTTTAGGCATTGCTGGCGGCCGCCCTTCCTCCTCTTATTACTTTGTCGGTTCACAAGCAAACAACCTCTTCTATTTGGACCCACACCACGCTCGTCCTACAATCCCTCTTCGTCCACCTCCTCGTGATAGTCCATCACCGGGTGGTAGAGATCCGGCTGACCGTCAGATGTCCCCTGATACGCCATATTCTTCCGATCGCGAGCGCGAGCGCGAACGTGCTCCTCGTAAAGGCCTTCATTTCCGCTCCCCCACTACACCGTCTTCGGGACGCTCGAGTGGTGCATCTAGCTTTTCAAACCGCTCGCCTGCGGCGCCTTCCCCATTACAACAGCAGGTCTCGTCTTCGTCCAGTGCATCTATGTCTCAGTCTTCAACACAATCGCACATGCGCTGGCAGTCGTCAAGTGCCCTCCCAGATGATTCGGAAATGGATTCTCGCGAGCTGGGGCTAGGTGCTGATCTAGATCCTCTGCAACGCCATTATGCAACAGCATATTCTGCCACGGAACTGAAGACGTTTCACTGCGACCGCGTCAGGAAAATGCCACTGTCTGGTCTGGATCCCAGTATGCTCATTGGGTTCCTGTGTAAAGACGAGAATGATTGGATCGACTTACGAAGGCGACTCACCGAGGTAGGTCTTGAGTGGAAAGCAACGAGTCTATAAATTGATCTATGTTGGACAGCTGTTCAATACACACAAGCGGCACATTTTCTCCATACAAGACGAGCCTCCTAATTGGCCATCCGACTCGGAGGACAATATTGGTCTTGAATCGATTTCAGAGCCAGATATTGATCTTCCCGAAGAAGATGACGAACTTTCAGATCCTCGTTCGACCTCTGCGTCCCCTGATGCCAGCATGCAAGGGACTGGATCCAAATCGGAGCTGGATACCGAAGACGACCCGATTGATCCCGTCACGCCTGGTGCAGGCAAATCCTCGTTCGAAATACCCGAGCAAACGAAGAGCGAGCCAGAGCCAGACGATCCGATTGATTTCGACGACGAGGAAGACGAGGAGTGGATGGACCCTGCTCCATATCCGCCGACAACCCCAGACGTCGAGTCAGCCCCACCTCTTATACCGCACCAGCAGCTGCAGGCGCCACCAATCGCTGTATCAAACTCAACTGACTCAACGCTGAGTACAGCATCGACTGGGAGCGGCAAGAAACGGAAGAAGTCAAGGAAGGGGACATTGAAGAACAAAGCATCGCCCCCTCAGGCCCAGACACCCGTGCAATTCCCGTTCCCGGCGACGAGTCCCGCGGAGGAGTTGCCAGTCGAGGTTGCGGCGGGTAATTCGGGCAGTAAACGCGTGCCCCAAATGCGTACGGCGAAAGCCAGAGACGGCGGACGCACTCAGAGCGGCGGGGTCAGAGGCGTTCCCGCCGACGATATCGACGACGACTGTTAGTACTCAATGTGCATGGCTCGCTCCTTCGACCTTCTCTCGTACGGTATGGTATGCCTTTCTTCGTATGTCTGCGGGCTCATTGCAACCACCCCATGCCATGTTGCCACAATTCTGTTCATCCATCATTAACACATAGCCATGCACATTGCCACACACAGGCCGAGCATATTATTCATTTATGATCCTTGTTTATTCATCCATTTGCTGTTGTTTAAACCTGCCATTGGTCTAGTCACAACTCCCCGTGTATTGTTGTAGGATGTCGGTACGGATAGCGCGATTGAATGTGATACCCGTGTGGTTGACAGGGTGAAAGGATTCATACGATCCGGCAAGTGCAAGAACAATGACTGGAATCCTGGGATCAAAGGAGAACGAGTCACTACAGGAAACTGACGGGATATAAACTAGCGATGTCCGAGTCCTTCTACATAACTTATACGGTAAGACAACGAAAGACAAAAAAAAATGACACTACATCTAGCATACAAGTCACGACCCACAACATGAGGTCATCAGTCGTCTGTTGTCAGTAGGCGTGCGGGAGAGGCGGATGGTATCGTCCGCGTCCTGTATGTGTAACGTCCGCGCTTCGAGGGCCTCCTCATACTCGCACTGCATCACGACGCGGCGCGCTACGTATTCAAAGATATCCGCGACGCCCTCTCCCGTCTTTGCGGACGAGAAGAACAGCTTTGGGCGGCGCTCCGGCGGCGGAGGTAGTGCGCTGAGCGAATGGGATGGAGACGGTGCGGACGCTGGTGTCGTCGACGCGCTCGTGGCGCGATCGCGCAAGAATAGGCTTGGAGTGATCGTCGGCACGGAGGAGACGGAGGACGCGGACGGCTGGCGGCGCGGCACACGAGCGGGCCCGGGGGAGAGGGAGCGCGGAGAAGAGGATGCGACAGACGCGGTGGACAGCGGGCGTGCTGGGGAAGAAAGCGCGGACTCAAACGCGTCGAAGATGGACGAGGAGGGTGTGTGGTAGACTGTATGCGTCGTGGTCATCGTCCCGAGCGTACCGCCGCGGAAGATCGTCGACCGACTGCGCGAGCGCGACTTAGACACACTCCGGCGGTGATGGCGCGTGAGGATGTCGATGGACTTGCTCGGCGTAGTGGGCGAAAGGGGCGTGTCTTCGACTGCCTGCCCGTCCTCTTGATCGACATCCATGATGGGCGGCAGAGTGAGAGAAAGAGAGGATGGAGGAACAAGTTCGTCAAGGAGCTGCATTGCATCGGCTTCGCTCACTCTAGGTTTATTGGGGTGCGCCGAGTCGAGCATGTCGATTTTGTTACCTACCACAACGCAGCAAAAGTCCTCGACCTCCTCGTCTGGAATGGGTGCTTTGTCTCGAAATTCAGACCACCATCTTACGAGTGCCCGTAGGGAATCTGGTTGATTGACGTCGAATATAAGGATGGCTGCATCAGCACCGCGAAAAAACGCGGACGAAAGGCTGGAAAATCGCTCCTGGCCGGCGGTATCCTGCACAGCAAAACCTGTTATAAAACCTACAGTAGAGCGGCGATAGAATAGACCTACCCATATTTGCAGTGTTATGTTCTCCTCTGGGGAGTTGTAATGGGGCACAGACTTTGTGATGAAGTCGGCACCAATGGTCGCACGATAGCCAGTGGTGAAGCGTCCTGAGATATACTGGCAGAAATCATGAAGGCTCGTCGCCGCTAGGAGATAACCTTGGGCTCACTTGGTTGCGAAGACTTGTTTTGCCAACACCGGACGCGCCAATGACTACGACCTTAACGGTGCGCATGCCCGTCGTTGCTGAAGTTCTTCATGAGAGTTCCGAACGACGGCGGTGGCGACGCCGGGAAAGCAAGAATTGAATCACGTTATATGCAAATAAGCGCGATCCGTGTAGATTAGAGTCTACAGCTCTAAGTTACTACAAGCGCCTTCAAGGAGCTCTCATTCAACGGCCTCCGCTCCAACTTGAAGTCGGTTATCTGTTCCAGCTGGCCGGTAGTTCTTGGGGTTCGGAGCCACCAATACTCAGTACAGCGGATCTACATTGCGATACAAGCACATTGATAGCATGTCTAGCGCAGGCTTCCGCCTGAGAGTGGACCCCCGTGGATGCCTTTGCCTTACAAAGAGGATGCTATGGGTCGGCCCCTCGCTTGTCGAGAAAGTTAAGCAGAGTCCGGTACCATTATTCCATTCCGTATATATTAGGACTGCATTTACGAGGTTGACACCTTGCAGGCCCGTCGGTCGGAAACTCCACTACTAATGCTTGCGGTTCAACGTTGCCTCAGCCTTCAAAGGTGCGCCGTCATTTGTTCTTGAGCCAGGGGCCAGGCCTGGGCTGCCCGACTGCCCATGATGAGAATGTCAATCAATTCTTGAAGGTGCTCCCATAACAAAGTTATAACTAGCTCCTGGTCAGCGATATTCTTCAGAGTAAAACTCGTTACGAAACATGAAGGTAGTAGCGAAATCACTTAACGCATCTAGTAGTTGTAGAGTTCTTATATTTAATGTGGTGTAGACCTGATCACGACATCGATACTAATGGCTGCACGATAGCCAGTGAGGAGTCTGAAGATATACTAGCAGAAATCATGACGGCTCGTCTCTGCCAGGAGAGACCGTAATGGTGCCGATATGCATACCCGTTGCTCCTGAAATCTTGTATGAGTCTCAAACGGCAGCGACAAGTGTAACGCCGAGAAAATCATTTCCCGGTACCGAACTACGGTTAACTCAACTAAGTGCGATTAGCAGTCAAACCAACCACAGATTATCAAATAGTCTACTATTCTACTCACTATATTCCTGCTAGTTCTGATACTCATGGGACCCTGGCCTTCATCTATACTCTATGCAATAGTAAACCATATATTGAGCAATCTTCTGCTCATCCGATCGTCGCAGAAGGTCGGCTGTTGTCTGTTCTTGCCGGGGGGTAGTCTTTGAGGGGTTCCCTATTTAAAGTGCAACGCAGGCGCGTGAGGTGCAGACGGTACGGCAGAGGTACGGCAGAGCAACGCCTACGTACGTCCTGAAATCCCATATATCCTCGCTGCTCTTTTCCAATCGACGGCGGGCCCACCACTCAGCACGACGACGGATCCACGCATCGCGTTTCTCTTCTGGGTGGAGCCCCTTAATACTCATGCAGAACTTGAACTCGTCGAGTTTGTGGCCGCAAACAGACATGTGGCCGTACCGGTAAAGCGACTTGAATTGCACTCCAAGAACTTTTCATTCCAGTATATGAGTCTTTCCAGGCAGTGGAGAAGATGGGAGTACTCACTATTACAAGAGAGGAAGTCATCGAAGAGCTTCATACATGCTGGAATGTCTTCCGGGGTGGGATGAACCCTACGAAGATATGCTTCTTCCTGTTTAACGGCTGTTTCAAAGTCGATGTTGGACATGGATGTTATAGGACGAACAGGACGAGGGCAGGGAATTTGTTCCCTGACGTCGGGGCTTCTCAGGAAGTCGGTGGCGCTTGCAGCGCCACGGTACATCCACGTTCAATTTCGCAAATTACCAATTTCCCTATTTAAAAAACACAGAACTAGGCCTCCACATACACAGCAGTGTGCATCCGTAACAGAACCCAAACATATTCTAGTGTACATTCTCTTCGTACTGCATCTCGTCGCCGCTACATTTCAAAATCTATCACGGCGCATAACGCTGCCCGTATATGCCCTCCTGTATAGCTTTGATTTCTGCAGCAAATCAAATTAAATCAATGAGACCCAAGATACAAATTTTTGTTGCTCACGTAGCGCAAGATGTTTCGAGTGGAAACGACACATTGCGAGGTTACCTGAGATCAAAACGAGGTCAATTCTTCCGAACGAACGCACATGGACCCAACAAGGACGTACCCATCATAAACCAGAGGTTTGGTACACCGAGCCATCGCCATGCACCCCGTTCCTCGCCTTCCGGAGTCAAGTCCCAGATGGGCCCCAACTTAGACCCAACCTCTGGACTGACGAGCTTCTTAATTGCTGTATCAGCTCCCTCGAAGCTGTGGAATATGACCGTTCAGCACGATCGTGTCTAGCAAGCGGAAATTAGTGTTTTGACTGACCCAGTTGCGAAGAGGACCACGTCCGCCTCAAGTTCGCTACCATTTGTGAATTTGAGTCCAGTCTTGGTGAATCGCTCGATCTGGCTGTCGTTCTTCAACTTGACCTTGCCGTCGACGATCTTCTGACACGTGCCGACGTCTGCAAGAAGTCAGCAAGACATAGCCAAAGGAAGGTGCGAGACCGACCCAGGTAGTAGCCTCCACCCCGCGTGAAGGCCATGTGCAAGAAGCCAGAGTCGTCGACACCGAAGTGGTACTTAAATCCGACCTTATGCAACCCTTCCAGGAGTTCCCTGCACCCGTGTTAGGTGATGTTGACTGGCATAGGTGGAAGACACGACTCACTTGTCTGCTCGTGCAATGGCAATCGTGGAGCGCTTCGCGATCTCCTTCTGCAGCTTGATTGGCAAAGAGTTACTCAAGCGGTCGGCGATATCCGTAGGTGCTGCGCCCTCCCAATAGTCTGGTCGCTAAAGTTGAGCGAATGGCAGCCGTCTGTAAAATGTTTCTTACCCCGAAAGACGCGTGGCATACCCTCCTTCGTCGTCATGATATACGTCGAACTTCTCTGGAAAAGTGTAACGTCTGAATTGATGGCCATGAGCTGTTCGCGATAATCTCGTACAGATACGGTATACGCACCTACACCATGCTCGGCGTAATCACCGGCGATATCGTGGGCTGGATAAATGGTCAGTGAGTCAAACGTAGTTTCGCGTTAAATTTGTTACCTGACGTCGCTGCTCCCACAATTACTACCTTTTTCCCGATATGGTCCCTCGCAGATCCGTGTTCTGTAGAGTGTAGTATTTGCCCCTGGAACTCCTCCTGTGTACTAAGATAAGCACTCGCTGAATTGTATTACGCATATTATGCGGGGTGCACGCACCTGCCCAGGGACAGTTGGCATCTTGGGCAGGCCACCCCCAAATCCAAGCGCCATCACTACATGGTCAACGTGGAAGACGCGCTCACTTCCATCTTCCCTTTGCACTGCTACAGTCCATTTACCACCCTCTAGCTGTTCGATACGCGTTGCGGTCGTCGACAGCCAGATGTTGAGTTCCATGGCTTCGGCATAATACTCGAGCCATCCAGCAAGCTTCCTGCGGTGTCAGCTCATGCCAGTCGCGAGACAGAGGACAAACAGACCTTCTGTGCAGGGGTATATACAGGCCAGGACGGAGGGAATCTACAAACCGAGTCAAAAAAGCTCAATGCGATGAGGATCTGTGAAGCTCACGGCATGTAGGGCATATGGTCATACCCTATGCGATCAACACTTGACACTTGTTACTGCAATGAGTCATTGAGCTACTCACAGACAGGGTCATGCAAGCAGAGCGCTTCGTATCTGTATCTCCATTGATTTCCAACGCGGGGCTGCGACTCGACAATCAAGTTCGAGATGCCAAGGTGCTTCAATCTTGCCGCAACATCCAAGCCACTCTGACCACCACCAATGATGAGGACAGCAGGATCACGGTCGACGAACGCTTTCTCTTGCTCCCGTTGGGTCACCCACTTGCCGTGATTGGGCTGGAAATCCCGATTCGGACCAATCTTTTCTGGGAATCCTTTCAAATCTTCCAAGTTGGTATAAACAGTAAACGCCTTCCAGACCCCGCTTGACGTAGGCACGAGCCGGAACACACCGCTTGCGACTCCAACTTCGGTTTCGAAGTCGAAGAAGCCCACGATCCAGGCGAGGTCAGGATACGGCTGCGTCAAGCTGACGGTTCCGAGCTTGAATGATGCCGGTTTTACGACGGGGAGTCGGTCTTCGAGGAATTTCTGAACCTTGTCCGCCCCGTGGAACGTCCGGAACTCCCAAGTGAGGACAAGCTGGTCGCGCCACCATCCATCTTCAAGCAGGAGACCAACAATTCCGGGGACATTGCTGGAGGATATGTGCTGAGAGAATGCTCGGAACCACTCTGCGGCGACTTTCTGCACATCGAGATCAGGCTGAAGGGAAACACCGAGCTTGTCCAGCGTCGGCAGCGCAGGTTTCACGGAGTCGGCGGATGAGAGAAAGCTCTGGACGTCGGTGGTCACAGTGGCCATGGTCGAATCTCAGCTGCGGCCGCGGGTGATAGCGATGAAAAAGAGCCCCGCTGCACTCAGCGTCGACGAAGTTTTTATACAGCTTGTTTGCTCGGCAGATTTCATGATAAGGGCTGATTCGCTAATAATGCCTGAGAAGGACGATCACCTGAACCCCGGCGTCCGCTATAGGAGAGTATGGATGACAAGAAATCGAGAGCGAATTGCGTGCGCGGTCTAGGACAGTCATCAAAAATTCTCAGGGAGGCAGAGGCCCGTTCCGCGATCGAGCGATAGGTCGATTATATCGCCACCCCGCGAGTAAATAATGATCAGATGTGAACTTGAGCAGTCTAATGTCGTTGTGCCACGGTCCGACTCGGAGCCGTGGAAGCTGTCGAGCTTGAGAGAGTCGATAGAGCGATTCGTGGCAATGCAACGTCTTTGGAATTCTGGCACTTGTATAACTCGACTGCGGAAGCGGGAGCGATGATGTAGTAGTGTTACGGACTCGGATAATCAGGCGTCTTTTCCCCAAGAAAGACTCTGACTTCAGGCAGTGGAAAGGCCAGCCTTGAAAGGATTGTTTAGATGAACGCGTCTGTACGTCGCCTCGCTCCGGTCACTAAGTGCCATATATAGCACTTGTCCATGAGCTATGCATAATGTAAGCTATCAGGGCGCCTATGATCTGGATTTAGTAACCCTAACCTATGTTGGCCACCCGTTCCTAGCACGGAGGGGACCGATCTGGGATGGGTTCGTTACCTAGTCACTAACGTTCACGACCGTCGTTCCTTACGCGTTAGACAACAAGTAGAGAGACGATTCTGCCATTGGTGAGGAGCGGATAGGAGATTTCGGCGGATATTGTAGAGGGGTGCGCAGCAGAGGGGTGCAAGTGCGTGTTATTTCACCTGTGGATGCCGCGTATACCTATGCATGAGTCGTCTTCTGTAGACCAGTCACTGAGGTTGATTCCAAGGATGTCGGATAACCGTGCGTCTTCTGCACGGAGTGATGGTGAATGAGTTCGATTCTTGTCAGATTCGATTGTTGCCACTAACGCATTGTACAGGTGGTGGAGTGGACTACTTGTATCAAGTGAAGCTTCTGTCTGCTCTTCGGAGCGGTAAGTCATTGTTTCTTGTTCGCAATGGTATGGAATTCACGTTTCCACAGGTGATCCTGCTCGTATACACACATTTTTGGCCGAAATTGGGAAGGATGGTCGCAAGTCGTTCGAAGGGGATAGTGATATAGGTGCTGCAGCACTCCATCTGGCAATTCGCTGCGCGTCAAGTAAGTCAAGCATTCCTACTTAAGGAATCCAAGTCCTAAGGTTTCGTAGCCGATACGGTCGCTCTCTTGCTCTCCCACCGCGCTATATCCCCCAATGCTGTGCACCCGCCTGGCACTGGAACTACCGCCCTACATCTCGCAGCATCTGTTTCGCGTGCGGATGTTGTCGCCTTGCTATTGGAACACGATGAGATTGACGATACCATACGAGATAGTCAGGGACGAACATGCTTGGAGGTCGCAAAGGGCAAAGAAACGGTGCGGACCATTCAAGATTCTCGCTCATTCATGACAACATCGTATCGTTCGCTTTTGCGGACCTACGTCTTGTCTTCTCTCAATGAACCGCCGCCGGAAGCACTATTGAGAATGCTTTCATCTCATCGCATCCGCAATGTGGACTTGTCCTACCTTGATGATTCATCTGGCCGAACACTCCTTCACGAGGCGGCGAGACGCAAGGACTTGCGGCTAGTGGAACTGACAGTACGAGCGGGTGCGGACGTGTTCGCTCGTGATCGGAGGGGGCATATGGTGTACGATGGCGTAGGCAAGGATGACAGAGTGAAAGTATTTTTAAAGCAATGTGGGTGCTATTCTCATTCCTGAAACCGGTGCACTAAAGTCTATCATAGTTACGAACCAGGACACCACCCTCCTGGGACAGCAGTCAGCGGAACCGCCCGAGCTCAAGGGCTACCTGAACAAGTATGCCAATGTTGCAAAGGGGTACAACACGCGATGGTTTGTGCTCAAGAATGGATTCTTCTCTTGTACGTTTGAGCAGTCCAAATAAGTGCGATGCTCACTGTCTGTCTAGACTTCCGCCACCAAGATGATGAGAACGTGACCTGCAGAGGCGCAATTGCGATGAAGAACGCTACGCTACATGTTTCTGCTGGCAGTTCTGGCGTGCGATTTGAAGTTCATTCCACTGGTCATGGGGCACAGAAATGGTATCTGAAAGCTAATCATCGCGTCGAGGCATCACGGTGGATTCAAGCATTGCAGAAATGTATGGAGCATTCTAGGCGTGAAGCAGAAGCAGAGCGCAAGAGCGGCGAGAGTGATGCCCCTAGCTTCAGTCCGTCCATGAAGAGTACGATAGCTAGTCGGCAAATGAAGAGTGCAGGGACGGTTACTGGCTCGCCGCTGAGCTCTTTCACTGGAGACCACGGATCTGGGGACGAGGCGCCTCCTGTGCAAGAAGCCAGTGGCAAAGAGACAGGCGACGAACATGAGAACGAGAGGTCGTCAATTGCAGATTCGACAGAGCACAATCCACCGCACAGCAATTGTTACGAACTTCAAGGCAACGCGATCGTGGCCCAAGCAGAACTCGCTTCACAGATGATCTCGAAAATGTCTCTCACAGAGTCTTCGCCCCGGTCCACCGAGTTGAAAAAGGCGCTGGAAGATACGTTTGCCTCTGTCAATGCCATGTTAAGCGAGTACGTGCAAATGGTCCGCGAGCGGGAGGAATGGTACAAGGAGAAACTCGAACGCGAACGTGACAGACAGAACATTTGGGAGGAAAGTCTACAAGCTGTAGTTAAAGAAGGCCACCTCTTGGAACAAGAGCTCCGCAACAAGTCGCGCAGGCGAAGCCGCATGATGGACGGGAGTTTCGTCACTATTACCCAGGAGGACGGCAGTATGAGACGTAGAATGTCGACGCTCGTCGCCCCGCCGCCCATCGTGGCGTCTCCGCCTGAGACAGCCGTGCCATCTCCGGAGCCCATCTTGACACCAACAGGCCCGGGTCCCCTCGGGGTAGCTCGGAGACCGGTGTCAAGACAGCCCTCGGCGACCTCACCCGTTCAGTCAATCATGGCTTCCTCTAGCATACGCCAGCGTGTCCAATCTCCGACAGGTGAGGATGAGGAATACGTTGATACGGACGAAGAGGACGAGTTTTTCGACGCGATTGAGAGTGGCACTCTACCCAACTTGGTTGTTTCTTCCTTGATGTCTCCCTCTGACCACTTGTGGATAACCATTCGCCAAAATCAGTATCAGGGATACATGAATGCTCGGCAGAGATTGGCGATCACCAGCGATGACCGACCCCCGATGAGTCTATGGGCAGTGCTCAAGAATAGTATTGGCAAGGATCTGACCAAGATATCGTTCCCGGTGTTTTTCAATGAGCCTACTAGTATGCTTCAGCGTATGGTGAGAGTGCTTATTCGTCCATCCTCCGGCTCTCATACTGAAGTATTTCGCCCGCAGGCTGAGGATATGGAGTTTTCTGAGTGCCGTGAGTTTTCTCACAGTGAGATATGACTGCCTACTCATTAATGCTGTAGTCGACGCTGCATACAACGAAACTGATCCTCACAAACGTATTGCATTCGTGGCTGCGTTCGCTATGTCGAACTACTCCTCAACGATTGGTCGGATCGCCAAACCATTCAACCCCATGTTGGTAAGTCGTATCTCTAGGACTTGTTCAACATCTGGTCCCTGATAACGTTTCATAGAGTGAGACCTTCGAGTATGTCTGTCTAGATAAGGACTATCGTTACATGTCGGAGCAAGTCAGCCACCATCCCCCGATTTCTGCTTGTTGGGCTGAGTCTCCACATTGGCGGTACTACGGCGAGGTATGTGCTGAGAAACGTTCATTGAGAGATAATGTCAAAATTTTGGTATAGGTCGATGCTCAAAACAAATTCATGGGGAAATCCTTTGAGATTCGACCAACCGGTATTGCTCATGCAGAATTACTCCTGCCTGCCGACAGAGCCCCCAGGTATCCAAAAGTGAAGGGCCATCACGTCGAAGGCAAAGTAAGCGAGCACTATAGCTGGAAGAAAGTGACTACAAACGTATCTGGTTTCATCCTCGGCTCTCCAACAATCGATCACTATGGTGACATGGTGGTAAGTGGTTTACGCCAAGATCATCGGGATGCTCACAGAGCGTCGTCTAGATCACGAATCACCGGACCAAGGATCGTTGCGTGCTAACCTTCAAGCCCCGTGGCTGGCGAGGGAAGGATGCCTATGAGATTTGTGGGTACGTGGCCGACGCCAACGGCAATGTCACATACGAGATTGCAGGACGATGGAATAGTCAGCTCGTAGCGCGCTCTGTGGGGAGCGGCATCGGACAGCTGCATCCAGATGTGCATATTGACGGCCCCACGTCGACCTCTACCGGACCTGAGTACATCCTCCTGTGGCGGAATTCCAAAAAGCCTCCCGCACCATTCAATCTCACGCCCTACGCCATCACTCTTAACGACTGTCCAGATACGCTGCGTCCGTATTTGGCTCCAACGGATTGCCGGCTGCGTCCTGATCAGCGGGCGTTTGAGCTGGGCAGATACGAGCACGCCAACGATCTGAAGAATAAGCAGGAGGAGTTTCAGCGAGCGACGCGCCGTGCGCGGGAGGAAGGTCGGGTGTCTCTACACAAGCCTCGGTGGTTCAGCGCCCAGACCGAACCCGATACGGGGGAGAGAGTTTGGGCTCCGTCGATGGTCAATGATGAATTGGAATACTGGATGGAACGGGATCGCATATGGGAGGCGAAGCAGAATGGAAACGCTGTGACATGGAAAGCTGTAGACCGTATTTTTATTGAGGACGACCCTTAGTTTGTTTTGAATACGAGCATTGCTCTTGGTGTTTAGTCTACGTAGTGCCTACTTTAATGTGTTCCAATGTACTCGCAATTAGAATGTTGTATGTGTTAGGATTGTCACAATGTATTTTCCTCAATTTTTCAAGTTCCTTGAGCCAGCATGGGAGTGGTTGGTTGATTTTGGCGCCGCACCGCGACTATGGACCTATGTGACAGTGAGACGCGGTTAAACTTGAACATCGACATCGATATATCGCATTGTAGGTTTGATTACCTGGATTGTACACAGAGACTTGAAGTCGAACCTTTCAACCACGATAATCTTCGCCGACATGTTCCAAGTCGATTTGCTCAATGTAGGGTGAGCAAACTCATTTAGCGTCTCAATCGTATGTATATGTGCGTGCATACAGTTATTGGTATGAAAGACTTCGTCCAACTATTCCTGTAGTCTGCTGAACCCGTTTCGTTAACTTGATATTGCTATGCAAGTCATAGGGCACAGGTAATCATCTTATTTCTTGTTCTGTTCGCTACCTATGACTATTATGCCGAGCAATATCCACAGATATAAGGTCAAGTTTGACGGTCGAAATGTAACGACCCGTGCATGCTCACGGGCTTCCGATTGACGGCATGAGTTGCATTTCCGTCGACATGACCCTTGCTCGCAAGACTAATGACGCATCTCTGCCCCTGCATCTGCTTCCGTTCGCTTCGTCTTGGTGAATTTTGCTTCTCCGACATGTATGGCATGCCTCAAGTTGGCATAACGCCGCAACACTCTGAACTCAGACAGGAGTGACTGCTGCTCGGCAACTATTGGCCTGATCGTCATTTGCAACAATCTCACAGGTGATGCCAGCCAGCGGCTCTCGTTTGGCTCTCGTGAACACGAGGCGTGGGAACAGTCGGCTCGCAAGAATGAAAGGTTCGTCAGTTGACGCTATTGCGAGATCAGCTGCTCGTGTGTTAGACAGGCATAGACTGCGCCTGCGCACGTCTATCATGCGAGCGACGGTATAAGACGACTCATCTGAGCGTAGCGCACCCATTCTGATTTATTCATTATGGTGACTACTGCCGACATTCCGAAGCCTACTCCACCTGTGTTCGACAGGGTGGGACGTTCTTCATCCCCTCTTGGTGCGAAGTCTCCTGCAGGTACTCTGAAGCCCACGCTTCCCACTCTGGATAGATTAGGCGCGACGCTTCAACCTAATCTTGACATTGAAGAAATCGTCTCCGAATGGTTCCGCATCTTCTCGCAGCACGTCCTTACTGGAAACGTTGACGGAATCGTGAGTCTATTCCTTGAAGATGGCTGGTGGCGCGATCTGCTGGCTCTCACTTGGGAATTCCGGAC